GCCTTGGTCATCTGTGCATAAAGTTGGAGCATATACATTGATAACCGATGTAGAACACTTGCCTTTAAAGTGAGCATAGACCATAAGGTCGTTTGGTTTCTGCTCAATCAAAGCGGAGTGGGCTTTTTCAGATATGATAATACTAAACTAGTTTCTTCGCGAGTTATCCTACAATGATTAAGCCAGTACCTCTGCTCAGAGCTTAATAATTATTCGGGAGCCGACATGAGGAAGACGAGCTCCGACAAACAGCCACTCGCTGTTTGGAAAGTGTGTGCAGTGATCGCTTTGCAACATCCACAAGCATTAACATTCCATGCTGCTATGACTAATAGCTTATCACACATGCAGAGAGTCCTTTTCTTTGGTAGGTATCGTGCAATTACCCTACCCTAGTTGCGAGCGCAAGCCTTCGGATCTTTTTATTCCTGGATTGTATACTTATTGTACCGAAGGGAAAGGGAAGGGATATCATACGCGTCGAAGAAGGTTGTATCAAGAACGTTTTACCACAGAATCACTTGGTTACTGCTTGAACTTAAACTCTTACAGTTCATCAATTATCTTACATTATATTGTTACAATTATTTTATAGGAGATTACCGTGTCAGTTTTTTCGGAGCTCCACCAACGCCAAATATTCGTCCATCTAGTGCGCTAGCGGAACGATGGTTATTGTATCTGTGCTGTGGCATTCGCCCACGATAATCCATCATCTCTAACTCAGATTCACTTAAATATTCAATCGGTGGATGATCTGTGAAGCGGATTGGCTGGGGCGATTGGTAACCATTGATTTGTTCTCGTAATTTAAGCACGGCCTGATCTTTAATATCGCTGAAAAAAATTTAATTCAAATATTTCAATAGCTGAAGAGTAGAACTGAATTAAAATAAATCAAAATATTCATAGCGATATGAAATTTTTTGAAATTTAAATAGTCGTGGCAAAGATTCAACCAGTTTTGTTGAAAATTAATTTTCGAATTATTGGAAAGAAACAATAAACGTTGAAATCGCAGTAATTGGATGATAGAGAAATATTTGCGCACAAAAACATCAAAATTTTTGCTTGCAAACAAGGTAAAAATTGGATAAATAGACTAAAAAACAAAAATGATAATTTTTATAGTAACTATATTTTGAAAAAGCCAGGCTATCATGTCCATTATTATCTCTTGATAGGAATAAATTGTATCATTGAAAGCGAAGCCAGAGTGGCACTGAAGATCTCATTCGCCAAATGTTTCCTTCCTAAACACCTAATGGCCAATGTCAGGTCCAACTAGAAGCAATGAAGCTATTTGAAAGATCTATGTTCATAGAGAGCAAACATGGAAACTAGAATAGAGAACTGGACGAAAAAAAATTCGATTGAAAAATTTATCGGAATAAATTTCTTATCGCAAATCTTTCAGCTGTTACTTGATTGGTAATATTGAATTAAAAATTATTTTTCATTCGTTTATGTGAATATGAATTTTTCTTAAAGCTAAAAATTTGCAATATAAATTGGCTCAATTTCTCTCATTCATAATATTAGTATAAGCGGAACGGAAGCATTTTAATATGGAAGTATAAATAGGCTCCCAACACCTTTGGATTTTTTTTATAGCGGATTTGCACCGCACGGAGATGAGAAAAATCAAAACTATGATGTTAAAAATGATAAGCAATGAAAATTCAGCCATACCTTAACAGCAATCACGAGAATTTATCTAATGCAGCTCGGAAACGATAATGAACAAAATTTTTTTCAAAAGTTACAAATTCTACTAGTGATTGTTGTAAAAAAACGATGTATCCAAACTAAGAACTGAAGAACTAAGTGCTGACCATATTAGAGAAAATTGCTAAATTCGAACCAAAATTACTGCAAGCGACATTTGACTAAGACGATTCTTTAAAAAAATCTACCAGAAGCCGGAGAAAAAAAATTGGGGAATTTTGAAAGTATCAAAATTTCGTAATTTTCAAAATTTTGAAATTTACTGAAATTTAATTCTCAGAGTGGTCGCACCCTATTTCGGCATTCAGCAAGCGCATACCTTTGTTACTTCTTTCCCAAAATGACTTTTTGGCAAAACTGTCTCATCCTACTAATACCCAATAAAGCGAGGCGGATTAAAAGTGGTGGATGTTAAGCACTTATTGTGATTTTGCATTTTTCCAAAATTTTTTTCGTAATTATAATTTATTTAATATATTTATCATTTAAAATTAATATGTAATTTGTAATATGTAATTTACTATATATAAATTTAATGTTATATATAATTGTTGTAATAATTTTTAATGATTTAGAAAATAATTGCCATTTTTGATTGTGAGATATTTAATAGTTGAGAATTTAAGAAATTAAAAAAGACTAAATATTTTCAGTAATTCTTTTCGAAGACAACTTTAACCGATTTAAATTGAAAGTTTTCTATTAAAGAAAATATTAAAGCAATTTTTATGCATACCTAAGATCATCAAGTTCATAGAATAACTGCCCCTTCGATGGTTCTTGAATATAGATCTTTACTCTTGGCTGACTTAAGTACTGCGAAGTAAGCTGGGGAAATGAGCGTAAGAAAAGTGCTCGAACTGTATCCATTGATTGAATTGACACAGGTAAAACTGCTCTTTTAACCTCCTCATTTACTTCCAAATATACCACACCTATGGGAAAACATTTTAATTTAAAAAATAAAGAAAATTAGACGATAATTCATCTCATAAATCATTCTAGTTGGTACTTCCTCACTACATTAACTAATATGGTTTATTAAGGTTCATTAATCAAGAGCAAACGATATATATTTAAGTTAATGGATCGAACCGAAAGATCGATCCGATCTCCGAAGGGTGCCAGTTGATTGCGATTCATTTTCAGAACGAACCATATTGTCGGGTTTTGTTTGTATGACAGTTGAGCTTGATGAAATGGTTGGCCCAGTTAATTGGCGTTCTTCTCTAAATTCTTCGAATTCCGCACTAGTTGCAAGTGGAGCCACTATCTTCAATTTAATAAGCTAGGTTATCTTTGATAGTGGATATAGTTCATTTTTATCCTACTGTTAGTTTATTCAGTTCAGATAATAATTTTTCAATGATCTAATGAATTTGATTGATAATTCATTTTATTACTGCAAATTAATCAGATGTTTCAAAGCACAACTGGAAGCTGCCTTTCTCTTCTTAAAGTTCTCTTCTGAATTAAAGAAAAGCATTTCGGATAAAATCTTCTCAATTTCGCAAAATAAGAAAAAATCAGAGCGAGTGGAGATCTTCAATCTGTTATGGAAATTCGGCTTTGGTAAGAAAACCTTAATAGTTTTTTCAAGCATGAATAGATCTCAGTATCTAGCATTATGAATTCGATTCGATTTCCCCCTCTTTACTGCTAGTCTAAACTCTTTGTTGCAAGGGAAAGTGGATAAATGCTGGAGACACAAGCAGCAAACAAATATCAGAGAGACGGTCAGATAACATTAGCATTAATTTATATAATATAAGAGAAGTTTGAGATCACCACTATTTCGATAAGAAAACTTCGAAATCTTTCGCATTTAAACGAATTCTTTTTCTGGAGGACAGTTGTCAATTAATAATCGGGATCGCTTCTTTTTTGTTTAGTAAGTAAGAATACCAAAAAGTTGAGAATCCTGAGAAAATCGATGAGATCTGATATTCATTATTCATTTGCTTTTTGTCGTTCTCAACGAAACTCAATAGGTAGAATGTATTGCGAAAATTACGACAAGATAAATACGCTAAATGCGATAAGAAAAGCAACCTTGGCAGGGTCTTCATACTTCCAGTTTGCTTGAGTTTGGTTTTTTAATCCAATATGGTGAGCAATTGGTGTCCCTTAAAAAAAATTTCTTTTAAATTTTCTTTTTAGAATGTTTTTTTGCATAAAAATTTTGGAAAAGGAAAAAAATAAGGCGCAGCAAGTAAATTTTTGCAAAAATTTTCTTAAAAGCTTTATTGAAATGCCAAATATTGAATTGAATTCACATTGATAACCATTTTAATATATTGAGAGTGCTGAAACGGTATTTAAGTAATTTTTTTCAAGGCTTTATTTTTTTTTTTGTTTCTTATCAGTAGAGAAAATTATGTCTCCATTGTTCCAGAATTTGCATGCAAATTGGAAGGAAAATTAGAGATCAAATCGATCAAGTTTGAATATTCTTTCTTGGTCAAATCAATATACTACTCAGCTATTTAAAAATATTATTTAAAAATAAAAAAATATTAAATATAAGGCAATATTTTCTGGCGATAGGGTATTCAATGGCGATATCAGCCAAGAAAAGAATTATTGAAGAATTAAAAGAATTAATCTGTGCGATAAGCTGAGCCACTATCCAGTTTCCCCGATTTTGAAGAAGAGAGTTAATAAGAAAAAAACAAAAAAATTAGAAAATTTTTTTATAATTGCATCTAGATTTCTTTTTTTTTGATGGATTTTGCGATATTAGCGAACAAATTTTTAACGAAAATTTCAAAAATTCTGGCAATACGAAATCAAATTACAATCTTACTGAAGTTGAAATTTCACTAATTCCTGATGAAATTTCCGTGAAAAAACCTAAAATTTTTTAAGTAATTAAAAAATAATAATTTAAAAATGTCGAAAAATATTCAGATTTTTTCACAGCCGATGTCAGAAACAACAAGCCAACAAGGCTTTTATAACACTGAGTTGTAAATTTTCAGTTTTCTCTTGTTTCTTCGAAAGTTCTATCATTTTGTTCAAGCGATATGCTAAAGTATGGCCTTGAGCCAGAGGCACAGTTACATTTAACTGCCATAATTATTCTTCAGATTTACTTCTGACGAAGAGAAAAGAATCGGATTTCGAAAATTCAAACCAATCTTTGTGAATTTTGAATCATTCGAAAAATTTTAAAAATTTTCCTTCAATGTATATTGTGAAGCAAAATAAAAACCGTTCATTTATTACAAAAACAAATTTATTCTCATTCTTCTTCTTATCGAAATTTCGATGGAAAATTTCTTCGATAGTTAAAATAAAATAAATTAATAAATTTTGAAGACAACTATTAATTAAAGACAACTATAACTATTTTTCTCATTTTATCACTAATTTTAAAAAATTTTCAAAAAACAAAAGTGGGTTTTATGCGAGCCAAAATTATTTTATAAATATTATCAATGTCAATATTAGTTTACTAAATGAAAATGAGGTTCCCCTAAAAATAATGCTACAAGATTATCCATAAATATTGCTGATTTTGGCCAACATAAAAAATTAATCAACATCGAACACTGTTATAAAATTTGGGAAACTTTTGTTTAAGATATTTATTCGATCATCCCATCAACCTCTGAATGATACAGTTCATCCCAATTGAGTGGGTGGTGGCTTGTCCTATCCTGACAGGAATAAACGTAGCGCTTAGAAAATCCAGGCGATGGCCTCACTATATTTCTATCATCGACTCCAATAAAAATTCCTAGCCCAACTGACAACCAGGGAAACTAGACCAACCACAGGTGGCAGGTGAAGAGTCCAACCATTTTTTTTTATTTTTTTTGCAATAATTCATCCCATATCTGCGATGAAATGTCCAAAGCAATCCTATTTTTTTAATGCAGATCAAACATATCAATGAAAGCGATTGATCGTAACCATAATTAAATGGGAAATTTCGTATCCTCCCATCCTTATTTTTCAGCAAGGTATTGTTTTTCAGAAAAATTTTTTACTATTTTTCTGTAGAATATTGGAATTAAAAAATCTAATATCGGCATGAAATTCTTCAAGTGTTCTTCACGGCCAATCATAAAAAAAGTTCTGAGAAACGCCGTTCTACGTTTTTTTCTTGTAGCAACAAATAAGAAACGTATTCGCATTCTAGAATATCATCCAAATCCGAATACCACAGACTCGATGTCAACCACTATTCCGTCCACCAGCCCTGCCATTAAAATTCAATCCGAGAGCATATTTAAATATCCCTAAGTGATCCTCTCGTGGAGGATTTAAAATTTAGCAACAAATAAGTATTTCGAATGTCTTCGAATACTCGAGAATATTTCGAAATATTTCATAGAAAAAATTCCAATAGATGAAATTAAGAAAAAAATTGTAATTTCCATCCAACCATATGTTATATATATTTATTGTTCGTTTACTCTTTCAGTTTCTTTTTCTATACAAATTTTCGATGGGAAATTTTGTCTTTTTGCTTTTATATCGATTAAATTACGATTTAATCCTAAATTATCACCAGAAAATTTTAAATTTAAGCCTAAATAATGTGAAATTTTGAAAAAAAGAGGTTCACTAATCAATCCAGGAAATTCAAATCTATTTAGAAGGCTATGGAAATTTAAAGAAATAAGCCGATCTCAGAGATGTGGTAAGTAAAAAGTGAATGGATAAAGAGAGATGGATTTTTTCCAGAATTTATTATAAGTTAGTAAGTTAGTTTTTATTCTCGAAACACCGATCAATCAATTACAAGAAATAGGATTAATTTGCATTGAACAGCACTTCAACGATTTTTTAAACCAATTTTCCAACTTTTTTCAGAATAACGGTGAGGTTTCTAGTTTCTAGTAGTTGATTTACCCACTGGTTACTACGATAAGAGCAATATTGTTTCTAAGCTGCGCAAGTATGCAGCCTCGAGTGAATGCAGCCTAAATTTCGCCCCCAATAGTATTTCTTATGTTGTATACATTCGTTATAAAAAAGACCGTTACCCAAATCAGAATGTTTTTCTGGGGAGAAATTAACTATATGCCGGTGTTAAAATTCTGTTCGCGAGTAACAACAGATCCATAAAGCCAAAAAAACTGGAGGGGACATCGGTCTCTTCGAGAATCACTTTAGAGGACAGCTTCGCAACTGGGTCCACCAGGGCTTCACATAAAATGGCAGATTTATTCCCATCAAAAGGTTAGAATCGAGCCTATATCGAGTCTATGCTTTTATATTAATTTTATAAAGAAAGAAATTTTCTGGGGCCAATAAAATGTCGAATATGACTGACTGTAGACTTTAAGCATCGAACTTTTCGCCATAAAGCACTGCAGTCTGTTCGACGAAAATCTAAATTTTACTGGAAAAAATCATGATTTTTATACTTTTTAAGGCTGTTCTGGACGTGACGTTCGTAGTTTTCGAATAATATAATTTGTACGAGTAAATTTAGTGACAGCTCTATTCCTACTGGAAACAGAATCTTTGCGATAATCCAAGCAATCATCCACTCAGTTGCGCTAAATATTTATTAGTTCAAATTGAAATTGAAAAGGCAAACATTTTTACAACCAATGAACAACTTGTTTTCTCGGAGGAAATTTACACTTTAATAGTAAATTTTAATTGGATTTATAACTAAATCGCTTTACAACCTCAATTATTGCTTCTGATATTATCAAATTTTTTACGAATATTTTCAAAAGAATTATCTATTTTTATTAAGGGAAACTTTATTTCCATTGTTAACAAAAATTTTAACATTATCAATTTATGAATTTGCAGCGAAAACAAAAGAACGAAGAATATTTCAAATTCTTATTTCTGAGAAACAGAATAATTAATATAAATTAAAAATGGGCAACGAAAATGATTTGCACAGACTTTTTTACGATTAATGCTTTCTTTTCATCTCAGCGACAAATCGCATAAATTTGGATTCTTAAAAAGAAGAAATAATAAATTGAGAAATACCAAAAGTCCAAAATCTAAGTCTCTTTTGACATCCATTAAATAGTGGAAACTTTAAATTATATGAGATAAAATAGTAGAAAAAATAGAGGCTTGGATTATCGCGTTGGCTCGGCTTCCACCTTCAGCAGAAGCAAATCTTAATTTTTAAAAAAATGGAGCTTATAAGCCATCTGTACTTCTATCTCCAAGTGACTTCACGGCAAAATTTCTAGCCGTACCTGCAGTCATACGAGCTAGCCTAACCACGAATGATGAGGGCTGACCATTTAATTATTTTATTTTAGATGTGATGTTAAAATTTATGATATAATTCTGTTTTTTATTTTTTTGTCGAAAAATTTCAAAAAATTACTTAAAAATTATTTAGAAAGTTTTTCAAAAATAGTATATTTATAAATCGATTATAATCATTTATTGCAAGATTCCGAAAAAATAGCTGAAACTACGTATATACAAATATATTTATTTATAACACCAATGCTTTTTTTAAATAAAATTTCCCTTAAATAAATAAATGAAAATCGATGAAAAAAAGGAAAAAACTAAATTTTTTAGAGAAAAATTTGAAATTTCCACTCATTTTTTAATATTAAAAAATTTAAAATTGTATAGTATTTTTTCGATTATTAAACTACGAATTTTTGTAAAAAATAAAGAAATTTGCATAAACGGGTACATGGAATAATGAATTAGAAACAATGAATTAAAATGGATGAAGAATTAATTAATAAAAACTTATGCATGTGAACTATAAACTGCATATTCTGAGCCGGGAATGAGAAAATAAAGGTCAAGATCGAGCTCAGGAACAGACCAGAGTTGGGGAAGAAAGTCGGCTCCAAAGAAAATTATCTGAGTTAAACGATTAACCAGAATTGGAACGAAATAGCCTACGATAAAGGAACTGCAAAAAGAAAAAATGAAAAAGTAATACCAGCAGTGTCATTAAATCGTACGGCGCGTTTGAAATCTTTCGTTGAAAATGCTTCATTATTCAAATTATTAATGGATCTATCGATATCGGGCGTTTTTCGGTTTCGAATCCTCGATTTCCACGAAAACAGGCCAGGCATCGAGGCAGGATTTGGCTCTATCGGAACGTCGGGCGTTAGAAGTCGGGCGAACTTTCTTCTCTCTCCGTAACCATAGCACACACAGCACTAACTATAATACTCGTGCCACCTCTCAATCTCGACGCTCAGTCTTTAAACCAAAAAATTTTACACAGTTTTACAGCACTGATGATACATTTTCATTCCCATCATCAACAGCTGTTTCTCCTCGAAATGTTTTATATTTTTATTCAGTAAAAGTTTCTGTATTCGCCACTCGAATTGCATTGCATTCACAAGCATTACATATAAACGGATTTGGTAGATATCGCAATATGTCTACTAAATCTTAAAATTTTGAAATTTTTTTCTGTTCATTGCGGAAAATTTGGCAAATTTTGCGTATAAATTTTATAAATATTTACGAACGATCTGCTAAAAATTGCGCAGTGTATAATGAATCAGATCGAGAAATAAGGGAAAGGTTTCGGTTGTTGAGCGCAACCGAAGAGCCATCAAAAATTCTGCTGATGCTGGCGACTTGTGCCCACTTCCATTGCCAAGCATTGTAAAATTTTTAACTTTGCTAAGAATCTATGGAACTAGTTTAACCAGGAATGGTTGACGCTATATATATATATATATAAGAGTGGGTGATGCATAGAGGTATCAATAAGTCACCTGTAACATTTTAGAAAAAAAATGAAATTTATAGTGATATTAGAAAGAAATCATCTCGGTTATATGCTTATACTGCATCTGAAATATTATCTATGTACCATTTATCACTTGTGAATTTTTGATTATCATTTTTTATAAACAATGCATGATTTTATAAGACAGAATATGACAGAATGATAGAATAAATTCTCCTCTCCTTATAAATTTGTGACAAATTTATGACTATTAAACTGGTCGTTGTTGCAAATTTTAATAACGAATAAAAACAATAACAGGTGGAAAAACAAACCATTATTTAAGTTATATATTTAGGTTAACATTGATAATTTATAAGAAGAGAAAATTTAAAATTTTTACTGGTAAATCCTTAATAATTTTTAATATTATAATAGGACCATTAAAATTCCAATCACGAGATTATTTAGGATTTTTGCCGATTTAGCGAAATTTTAGTTCCAAAAGAGCGAAAATTATAACCAAATTTTTCCAAGGTTTTTAAGAGAAATTCGGCGTTTTTAGTAGTAATTTGTGGGCAATCAGTATTGCTTAAGTGCAAAAAATTTGATTAGATAAGGCCAAAGAATTAATTAATACCGTTTATTGATAAATCATTAATTAATAATACGAAACTAGTGATAAATAATAAGAAATCCATTGATAAATCCACTAATTCAAAAATAAAGAAATAATTAGTCGAAAAGATATAAGATGATATTGAAAATGCTGATTTAGCAACATTTATCAGTTGCTAGGAAAGCAAATTGAGTTCGGCAAGTTTAAGATCTAAATGTCACAGCATTTAGAAGTTTCAACGCTTCATTTCTGGATACGTAATTCTATTTACTGGATTTTAAAAATACTCAATGGGACGATCCTAGCATTGAGATAGATCTAGAATTTTCAACGTGAATAAAAGGAAGTCGAGCTTTTAAAAGGCTTTCGCACTTTCATTAAGCTAAAGTGCGATATAAGCAATAAGAGTGATAAGTAAGGCAACCTGGGAGAATAAATCGAAACATTGCTCGAATTTTTTTTCTCGAAAATAGGAACCAATTCCGTTTATAGTTATGGTGATATGAATAAAATTTGTTTGTCGAAGTAGATGAATCGGGATTATTCAAACTCGATTTCGAAGATTCTAATGATTTCTCTTCATGAATCTGTGGTTCAGGCCGATCGTGGAATAATGGAGAATCACAATGACACACTTGTTGCATTTGATTTAAAGGATTTTTACCCAGTAAGTGTGATTCAGATTGAGATTCATAAGAACAGCGATAATAGTGAAATCGTGGAACTTCTTTATAATATTGATAATGATCCAAATTCTTCGTCTGTAAATGGGAACTATGATTTCGAGAGCAGAGGCAGCCTCGCATATTATTTAGCTTTCACCGTTATTGAGTGATTTCATTGTATTAGTTTGTAATGTAAACATTTAAACTACCCGGAGAAAAACAAATTCTGTCTTCATTTCGTACCTCTCGCTAACATGATCGTTATTGCCATTATCGTATGTATTAAATGGACCTTATCAACTTTTCCTTACAGCAACTCTCTATGAGAGAATTTTTGGGCGCTTACTTACTTACTCAAGATTAACCTTGTTTTATCTATAAACTAACGAATGCCTATTTAGCGATAATTATTAAAAAATATTTATTTTAAATAAAATTGCAAAAATATAGAAATCCAAATTTATATCACATTAAAATAATATAAAAATATTTGTGACTATTAACGAGATGGCTTTGCCTGTTGCAGCAATATTTTAAATAAAATTGCTCAGTACTTAGATTGCCACGTTTTGATACATTTGATTTGATAATCTATTTTTAATGTTTAATAGATGATTTATACGACTAAAACCCGCCTCAATTAGAGGGAAATGTGGGAAAAGCAAAACATTCTTCCAGAATATTTTTTTAAATTTTTGGCGAATCTTATCTTTCCAATTCCAAAATTTGATGAACCCACTTTTTTTAGGATTGCAAATCCCCTTTAATTCTATTGATCCTTATAAAAAAGCTGATAAAATATCTATTTTTATCAATTCATTGCCGATTGAGGAAGTGCTCGACTTTAAATATCTTTGATCCATTCTAGTTCCAAATGGTTAGGCAAACACAGATAACAATAGCCAGAAATGAGTTTTTCCGGTTGACGATACCTTTATGGAACTGTCGCGAAATCACCATAAAGACGAAAATGTGTCATCGTCTATATAGCAATTCGCTCGATCTTGCTCTATGGTTGTGAAACATGGCCAATGAGAGTGGAAGATATTAAGGAGCTATCAGTCTTTGATCATATCTAAGACACATTTTAGGGGTCCATCGAGTGGATAAAAGCACATGATTGTATCCATCTCCGCTCAAATACCATCTGTATTAATAATGTTGCCTTAACCAAAGAGTGTCGCCTTCGTTGGTTAGGGCGCGTTCTTCGTCACCCATCACAAAAATTGACGCATATTTCGTTCGTGGCTCCGTCTACATAAGATAGTTCCTACTGGTAACACTAAGTCTTCACCTGTGAAAGGATGTCCATATTTGCGATTAAAAATGACATGCTACAAGGAAATTCTAATTTTGCTTCATATTTCTCGGAAGGTATAAATTGATTCAAGTCCCGTTTTTGAACTTATCAGAAATCCGCTTTAGACTTCCACACCAGACTGATAGTCGACGAACGATACATCTCCGGCAAGGATAAGAATAATCACAACACTGGGCACCAGAACACTCGTGTGAATCTGTGTTATTTTTCATTATTTATTTAAATAAGTTCAAAATTTCAATGTATTCAATATTTCAAAATTCATTTGAAATTGAAAAAAAATCTGATTTGTCCATGCCATCTACCGTCCTCTAAAGCCTCCATGGACTCCCAATCGGTCCTTCCAAGTCCGTAGGCCTATTTCAAGCTTTCATCCACCACTATTGAGACCCCGTTCTGCACAGTTCGAATTTGCCTAAGCTCAAAAAAATTTATTGTCTCAAATTTTGCTTATTTTTAAATTTCTCAATTTTTTTTTAATTGTTAGTTTGTCAATTTTAACAATCGATCGTATGGTAGCAAGAAAAATTAATACGTTGATAGGACTACTAATTCAAGTATGATAAGTTTGGCAGTGCTTGCCTTTTGAAAGGAGTGAATCTCGTGAATATTCAAATTGTACTGGAAGAAACCTTTCCGTACTAAAAGTTGTATGCATGATACAATACCTGCAGTATAAAAGTAAGAAAAAATTTATGAAAATTTATTCATGTCTTCCAAATTAATTTCGGTTTCTTTTCTCAAATTAGCCTTTAATTTTAAACCATTAGTTTGAGGAATATGGTTCTAAACTCAGCGAAATGATTTATCCGAATATCATGAAATGGACTGTTTATAATAGAATTAAACATTGATGTAAACGACAAAATTCTAGAAATTCAAGCATTGTACAGATTTGATAATATCAATTAATAATAATGGATAATGGCGAAAATTGTGCCTGTAACGTGTCAAAGAGGGAAGATTTTGGAAAAGAATTCTTGATGAGATCCACAAAATTCATTCGCTGCCTCTCTGAAAACTAAAATAAAATCGCTCAGCGGATGAAAACGTGATTTCTCGCCAGATGATAAATATAAGCAAGCGTTCTCTTCCGCCAACTGCCGAAGCGATTAGAAATTTTTGCCGGAGAGCCACCTGAAGGCAAATCAGCTGATCCGGTGAACGAAAGATTCATCGATTATCGCTCACCCCGATCCATATTTAGTCAATTAAAGGTTATTATTAATATTATAAAAGGTTCAGAATTCCTTTTCATTCCATTGTCCAAGTATTTTTGTTAAATTATCGTTCACCCTTAGGAATTCGCATTACGTTTTCCGGCGAACTCTCAATTTCAAAATACGAAAATTTCAATCAAATTAAATAATTATCATTAACGAAAGAGAGGCAGAATAACTGAACGGATGAGAGACAAGGGCTTCGAGTCGCGCAATTGACGCGAATAAGCCTGTCATTAAAAAACCTGCCGACCTATCGCTGCCGACCTATCGCTCTCCATCGCTTAGAGAGCACTAATCGTTTACTTAACAACCTCAAGATTCACCTACCTATTTCATCTATAATTTCAATGAATTCGCCCCCATTCCGCTTTAGCGATTCTTTATCGGTCGCTTTCTTCAAAAAATTGTTCGAAAACCAAATTCGTTCACATATTGTAATAATATTTCGCCGAATAAATTCTCCAAAAAATAAGCAAATTTAATAAATTTATTTAAATTTTTACAAAATTATAGAAATAATTCAATGAAATCAATTCAAAAATTTAGTTTAGAAATAAGATTTTTATTAAAAATTTTATTAGTGGAATAAGAAATAGAAGAAATAGAACGCTGGATTTTGTGCTATAAAGATCGAAACTCCTAAATTTGAATTTGACTACCGTACTGATGACATTTTCGCCATCATCAATATTACGATTTAGAATGGTTTTATTGGCAGGAAACCAAAACAATTTATCTTATGAGACGTGAAATTTAAAATTTATCGATTGATTCTGTACTGTAAAGTGGAGTGCTGGCAAGGGTAAAGGGTCATGTGGGGCGGATTCCGTTGTGTGGGAACGCTTAATCGTAATGGTTCAAGTATTGTGGCGTTACTTTCAAGAAAATGCGCTATCCTGGGAGCTTATAGGTATGTGTCTACGTGACTGGTCCCGCGCTGGTATTGCGCTAACATATTGCAAAATGGTAGTTTTAGTGGTGTGAAGCGTTCCGTTTGGTTTGGTTTTATGCACAGCTGGCGAAAAGTCGCTTAATTATTTTTTTGTTTAATTTCGAACTTTCGAATACTGCGTTTTTTTTTCGTCGTTCCATTTTTGCATTTTTATTTTAAGCCATCATTTTGTTTCTCTGCGGAATTGTTAATATTAAAACAAGCATATTTTATTGAATTTTCGAATATTTTTTGTCGCCAACAATGTTATTTCGGAATTATTTCGTTGTTGGTTAATTTTCCCTTATAATTTATGTAATTTTGAAGGTTATTCGGCGATAATTTCGACCAGTTTTTAATGGAAATTTTGAATTCCAGAAAACATTTAATTCAGTAGAACATTTGATACAAAACAATAAAGTTGGTTTCACCAGCAAATAAACTAGTCCAGTAATTTCCTCTAAATTTTTTCTGCTGCTATTTTGGCTTGATTTTCTTAATTTCTTCTTAATTTTTAAATTTTTCTGGTATTTATGTTCAGCGCAGATTATAATGGAGAAAGATTTTTTTATTTGCCATTAGACGTGGGAAAAAACGTCCGTTATAAATATTTATTCATTAGCAATGATTGGTTGGTGATAAAATTTACAGGTCTAAATTAGGCTATAAATTTGATATTACTTTGTATCCAAAAATTACTGATATATTTTAGCATAAAACATGTATTTTAGATATATGTTAGCGCAAATGGTACATACTGGACAAATGGTACATACTGGAAATATTTTTAGGTATGAGGTGATATTTACGGCATATTTCCGAAAAAACTTTCCTCACCCTCTTTGGGTGGTAATGATCATCCTCAGCTTCGGATCATTTATCAAAGGCCTGGGAGATTGAGGCTTTATCTCTTGGATGGTGATGTTGTCCCTGGAATCTGCTGGGGCCACTTTTTAAATTTAGGGATCACGGTTCCAAGTGCTCCAGTTATCACCGGAATTTAGCCTTCATTTTCCACATCTTTTCTAGTTCTTTTTTCAGCTTTCCCTAGTTTCTTGGTATTTTTCTGACTTCTCTCATTCTCTCTTCCTGACATTCCTTGTATCATGAAGTAATCCAAAAAGATTAAAATAACGTTCCTTTCACTTGGTATAGCTATATTTATTGCCAGTGCTGATTTCTTATTCTTGTTTACCACCAAGATATCTAATTGATTGGCCATTACTTGTTTGTTTCTATGGTTGGAGAAATCCCACAGGATCTTATTATTCTCTTCGATTTTCTAAGGAATCTCCCATTTAATAGTGTCTAAGCCATATACCGAACAGATGTTCCTGTAGAAGATGCCAGCTACTTGGTTATGCTTTCAATGTATGTTCCTGCTTGTATTCTGCCATTCTATGTTGGATTGTTTCTAAGGCATTTTTATACAGTATGTATCTAGAATTCTGTCTAATGAGGTAAATCTGTGTTCGTTGGATTTTTTAGGTGGATTGATTAGTGTTCTGTGTTGCTTCTGTGTTGCTATAACCAGTGCCTTATTGTTACCTTTTAGTCCGGCTTTTTTCAACTGGTAGGATTTCACAGCATCAGCCGTCTCATTTATCTGTCGATGGTACATGGAAAGTCTTGCTTTACCATGGCACTTCCTTTGCTTGATCTTTTTCAATGTAGATGCTTCAAACTTGCTTTCAACAGTTCTTATTTTGATGCCATCTTGCTAAGTGCTTCGGGTTTCGTTCAAGACAGTGGCTTTGACGTTACCAAGCGCACCCGCTTTATTTTCGACTAGTATTACACTTGGGGTGGAAATTTGTGAATATTGTGAATAGTCTTCACATTAGCCTCCATGTCTTTCTTTATCTTAAAATACCAGCTGCGTACCCGATGACTGGCAGGCCGTAAATAAAGCGATATATATATATATATATATATATATTTAGATATTCGTCTATAAATGATAAATTTTTAGGCATAAGTTGATATATGTTTAAGCAATTTCAAGGTGTAAAATGATGATATTTAAATTATATTTAAATAATATAATAATATAATTTTAATAATATAATTAAAGCATCAATTATTTGTTCATAAATTATGGAATAGTCCAAAAAGATTAAATGACATTTATTTTAAAATTATTTTTAATAATCAAATTGGATTCTTTTGCCTTAAATCTACTGAAAAGTATTATTAAAAATAATACTTAAAAATTTTTGTGCTTAAAAATTTTTTCGAAGAATTTGTGAATTTATGATTTATATATTGTCTCAACATTGTGGATGATGTTGGCCTTAAGTCGTTTTTTTTTGTTTCAGATCATTTGATTAAAAATTTTTTTTTACAGTTTTAAATCATAAAGTGTGCATGTTATCAACTGTTATAATATTTTTGGTTATCGGATCTTATTCTATGTTATCAGCGGTTTTATGATATAAAACCATTTGTTATTATTATTGTTGTTGTAATTGAATTAATGGATGAAATTTTGATGAATCAAACTCATGCAGTAAATGCATCAGAAAATAATTCGGAACAGGATAAAGATGGTTAATTTTTCTACTAAAAAAATTTATTTTAAAGAAATTAAAGGAGAAAAATTTAACAAATTAATATTTTCAGATTGTGCTATTGTCGTTCCAGCAAAAGTTAGCTTCGGAAATGTTGCTATGCATTTAGATTTGAAAATTGATCAGAAAACCTTCGCTGCGGCATCAGGAATATCGAAAGCATTTGAAGAAGCTGTTTGTTCTCGAATTTCTGCTGGAACAACTACGGGTAGTGATAATGCTGCTGGTTCTTGTCGATTACAAATACCGCCAGCACAATCACATGATTTTTTGATCTCGCATAATCACCGTAATGGGTACAGTTGCTCGAATTGTACTTGTCCTCATGATGAAAATAAGGTTTTTCACGTAAGACATTATTTCCTTTTTTTTTTTTTTTGAAATATTTGATATATCCTCAATTTATATTTGCTTGTTACTTTAGGCATATGAAGGAAAGGAGCAAGTTAATGAAGTTTGCAGTTCTACAGTGGATACTAGTCCACTTTGTGATACAGCTTCATCACCGATTGCAATTGATTCACAAGGGTGTACTGATTTAAAACGTGATTCGTGTGGTGAAACATATTCTTTGGATCCGCGTCCCTCTTCATCAGCTCTTACTAGCAATTCTAGTAATTACTTTTTGACTTGTCAAAATTCGTGAAAATTTTTTATTATTGAATTTGTTATTGGAATATAGAAGTTTGAAGAATGAGTTTCATGAAAATTTTCGTTTCTAGGTGGGTCTTATAATCAAATTGATACTTCATTTGATCCATCTCCTTCACCTGTTGGAGAATCTCCTTTCAATTCAAGGCGCAAAAGAGATAAAATTTCGAATTTATCTCGCCTTTGTGAATATACAGATCCCAAAAAAGGACCAGTATGTTAATCTTCTGATTTATTTCCTATTTTATCTTCATCATAACCATCAAGGCTTGTAAAAGAATCGAAAGGCAAAGGTTTTTTAAATAAAAAATTTTTAGTGTCGTCAAAGGGCTATTGTGCAATATAGATTTTGCATTCGACATATTCTTAATGATCCGAATGCTCCGTATCACCGATGTGAACATAAACGGAAGCCCAAGAGTGAGTCGTTCATCGCAGTTTTTAGGTGCATTATTAATGAAAGCTAAATTTTTTTGCATTCGCACATTTTTTTCTAAAAATATAATTCTTTTTATTTCAGATAAAAGTGATGTTGTGGCTTATTGCACGAATGCAGTAAGGAAAGATAAAGGTTCTGTATTTTGCACTACACATATGATAATGACTGGTCAGAGGGAGCCAAAACGAAAAAAATTAGTTCAGAAGGTTACTATAGATAAAGTGAAGATGGAAGATGATCCCGATATATGGGTTGACAATAGTGGTGATAATTCGACATGGCTAAATAACGTAAAAACGGAATTAATAGAGCAGCCAGTTGTTTGCTTAGAAAACGTAAATTACGAGCAGAATCGAATAAATTCGGTTTCGGTTGTTCATGGTTATGAATCGCCTGAAGGTATATTATTCAATTTTATATTTGTAATGTAATTTTAAATTATTATTTAATTATTTAAGTTTGTTTATTAATTAGAAACAAACTTAAATTAAAAAGCAGAGCTATCATATTTTCTTATAGACCATTTTCAAACCACAATATAATCCTTAGTATTACTTCAAAAATGGTCATGTTTTTTCGGTATCTCTAAGAGCCCTGCCGCACCGGTCAGACCTGTATTATTTTATCTCCCTCTTGCCTCCCTATCTTTATGTCTTTTAGACAATTTCTTGAGTCATGTATAAATATGTTATTAATATTCAATGATAATTTTTCATTGAAATAAAATTTTTCATTCTCATTTTAGTTCAAAAAAGTGGTATTAATGAACGTTGGATTGTTGATTCTGAGTCAGTTAATTCAGCAGCTGCACCCAAAGTAATTGTGAAACAGATGTCTGTCATAGACAATTCTCATTGTTCAACAGCACATTTATTGAATAATCACATTTCCAATCACACTAATCAGAATGTAGCGGTAATACCTGTATCTGTCAATGCCGGACAGAATTTCCCAGTTATGCATCCTGTTCGCAATGTTCAGGTATGAGAATATTATATGGTATGGCCAGTCGTCAGTGAAGAATTTATATATATATGTATATATATATATATATAACAGTCTTTTGTACATTGGGAAAAAAAGCATTTCCTCGAAAACACGCCCTGCCAAGTTCATCATATGCCGTCCTCGTCGAATTCTCGATCCCATCCAAAATCCTATTATTTCTTTCCAGCAGCCAGCGGAGGAAATCCAACAGGAAATGGTGGTTCTTGCGAAAAAACAGTTCCTCTAACCTTAATTTTACTCTTAATCATTTGAATCATTGTACGAATTCATCTTTGGAGTCTTACTGGAATACAATTTCTTTTGAATTTATCATATTCTCTTATCATGTCATATACTGTTCTTCTCCTATCATTTACCTTCTCTTCTTTTGTGCTTTATCAAATCTGTATTTTTTTGCAATTTCTCATAAGTAACATTACCTTTTAGGATATTTTCTATTATATCTTAATCTGACCATAGTTTTTAGTAACAAATCTCGATGATTTCTTCAAAGACTACTTATATTTTATTTTCTGTTCTCTCTTTTATACTTCATTAAATGCCACATCTCTTTAATACATCCCTGCAGGAATAAACCTGTCCAAAAACCCAGCTGGCGACTCACCTTTACTTCTGTAGTCAAGGTGTCCTGTGTGACAAGCCAGCAGAGCAAGTTTAACCAGTAATAGAGGGCTCTTAAAAAAAAAATAAACATGAACCTCATTAAAAGCTTTTGTTCAAAGCTTAGTGATAAAATCTGAATCTTTATATATATTAGTTCTGCTTTATTCAACCGTATTGCCGAACTTAAGTATATGTATTCTTTACAGTCCATGTTTCATTCCAAGGTTAGAACTCTGTTGTATTTCTGATCTATTAGCTACGTAGTCCATTTTTCTGCTATGTCCGATCCCCTTGTATTCCATATCACTTCATTTTACTTCTTTAATATTCTGTGATTATCCTCCGATGCTGCCACAGTCGATATGTGGACTAGCGTTTAAAGACAATTCTGCCCGTCTGTAGGGTGGTTATTTTTGCTGGCATCCAATTTTCTTTAAAAATTTCCCATATTTGTTCTAGATAGTTGAAAATGGACCTTGTTGCTCAAAAATCGCCACTTGCCCACTTAGAGTCGAACAAGTTGTTGTTCAACGCATTGCCATGCAGCAGCCACTTTCTCCACAATTATTGTATCGAGATACTTCCTCTACATTAACAAAACAACATCCACAACTTGCAGCAAAACTTTTGGAGGTTTTGAATTTTTAACTGTGATTATCAAATATCCCTTTATCAAAAGAAAGCTCTCATTCATTTTCCAATGTCTCTCTTTGAAGATTAGAAATTAAAAATTTTGTTCATTTTTTTTGAAATTGAAATCATATTCTGTAAAATTTGTCTAGTTCAAAATTTTTTAAATCTCTTTTGTAGAATTCGATTATTTATCCTCAACAAGTGCATTCTTCATTGAATTTCATCCAGCACCAGAATTTTCGTAGCGGTGTAATGGGCCATACTATCTTAAAACCGTTACCACATATTCCGCAGCAACTTTTATCAGACGACTCGCAGCTGTTAAAGCCTAATTATTATGCTTTAACCGATGATGAAAATGATGTGGACTCCAGTGATTCTGCGAAAAGGGTAGATCTCTTTATTGTATTTTAGTCAAAAAACGGCTGTTTTCTGCTTTATCATTTTAATTTTTTAATCGTAAAAAAAAATCGATGCAAAGTATATGACCGAAATGAATTCATTTTTTCATTGTTCGAGTCATAATATTAGTTTGTGAATATTTGTGTATTACATGTCATTCATCTGAATCGCTTTTTAATTTTAGTTAATCAAGTTGTGTCAAAAGAAAAGAAAGCCGAAAATTAAAGGTTGGTATCGAAAAGTACCAGTAGTAAATGAAATGTGCAAAGCATTTGAATTATTGGACTCTGACGAAGCAGATCTCTTTCCTCTGGGTACTTCATTATTTTCATCATTTGAGTATTCACAAATTGGATAAAAGTTAAATTTTATGGAAAGTTTGCATATTTTTATTTATTCGTTTTTTTCATTTATTATATGTTTTATGTGTTTAGTTCGGTAGTTTTTTTCTACTTTTTCAGGCCTTGAGCCTTCTGATGATGAAGATAACAATTCTGAAAGTGAACAAATGCTTGAAATGTATGAACATGAACAAACAACTGATGAGATGTCTTCAAATTCGAATTGTTTCATTGGTGCATTGAGAGTATATCTTTTAAAAAAGCAGTTAAGGTGAGATTTCGATAAAATTATCTTTTTTGTTAGATTTTCTTTTGAATTTATTTTTTAGATGGATTTTTCATCCTTTTCTAATATTTTTTTTCGATATTATTATCCTTGAATTTTAGATTAGATAAGACCAGATTGTGGCACATCGCTAACAGACATGCAGCAGTGTCCATAGCCAGTAAACTTTGTGCGAGTGGAGCTTCGCATGCTTTTTATGATCGGTCAAAAAGGCGAAGCACCACGAAAATTCGACAACGGTCAATTTTTTGGTATTTGATAAGAAAATAATATGTGCACTTTGGAAAAAAACGAATTCCACTCAATTTGATGTATCCGGTGTTTTCAATAAATTTATATCTTTAAAATAAGTAATATTCTTTATAAAAAACTTTAGCAAATAAAAATTGTCATGAACGTTTATATGACAGTTTTTCTTGCTTATAAATTTTATAAGTTTCAGATGCGCGTTTATAATCAAAAATTCTGGTGAATGCGATGTTAGGTGCATGAAAACTTGTCTCCCTTTTAGTAATTACTGCCAAAGGCATATTGCAAATTCTATTAGCCAGCAGTTGTATTCCTACTGTACAGAACGTGGTTGCAGTCAGACATTTCTTCGCACCAGTAACTATTCAGTGTCAGGTAAAATGACTCATTTTATTATTTAGATGCAAACTTATTATTATTATTATTATTATTATTATTATTATTATTATTATTATTATTATTATTATTATTAACTTATTATTTAAATGTTACATTCATTTTTTGTTTTTATGGGATGTATTTTATGTTTTTGTTTTTATTTTTTTATTTTTTGTTTTTATGTTTGTTTTTTTATTGCTTTTACTTTTTCAAATAAAGTCTAAAAATTTTTATTAAATATTTTTATTTTGCAGACGTTTGTCAGCATCATGCTGAACTTATGCGAAGTCAAGCATCGACGAATTTTATAGAAACTAATCTTTCACATAAATCGGATATTCCTGTTCCAATGATGAATTCATTTGCTGAACGAGATCCTTTTATTGATGATCAGCCCATTCACCCGTCCCATCCGCTTCATCAGAATGATAATGCTATGCCATTTGGAGACCCTGAAATATTTGGACCAAGCTATGGCATCGGCAGTGAAGGTTCACTTATTCTGCTCACTTATTCACTTAAAATATTTTAAATTTATCAGTAGTTTAGATCAATTGATCAGTTTTTAGTTTTTTTCATCACTTTTTATTTCTTGGCAGCTAAATTAGCTATCATCTTTTCAGAAGATCTGGATATTACATTCGGTTCTGGTAGAGATTTGGAAGGTCAATTGGAACAAATGCTTGATCGGCTACCGCCTGATGCTGAAATTGGAGACTTGGAATCAGGTAGGAACAAATTTTTTTCGATAATGCTTTGATAACTTTGAATAGATATAATTTTCTCTGGTATTTATGTACCTTTCCTTTTTTTTCAGAAAATACGAAGGATATTGACAATTTTTCATCCGTAAATTTGGGCCATACATGGGATGATATCGAGCAGTTTTTGATTTCTGAGGGTTATAATAATTTTTCCAGTGATTCACTAACAGCAAATGAAGCGGGATCTACTACGCCATTATATTCACCAAACGGGTCTAATGTAGTTTCACAGAATTTTGGTCAACATCGTTGATTTCATTTTTTCCATTAAAATCCCTTTCTTCAGCAGCATTTTTTCAGTATAGTCGGAAGTTAATATAGTAATATATATATTTTTAAAAAAATGAAGCAAGAATCACACGAGTAAATTCTGCGATTGAAATTAAGGTCTTTCATGCTTCTCGCTGAATATATTGTCTAAGGGCCAAGGCCATGAATCTCTAGGTTTATCATGAATTGCTTTTACAAATGAATGTTTCATCATTTAATCTCGTAAATTCTTGAAATTTTTTTTTTCATTAGTAATATAGGAATTGTTTTGCGGGTATTTTATAAAAGGTTGCTAATATCTTTGTATTTCTGTCGTATTTTTAAATGATATTTCGCACGTATTATGGGCATTCATGAGCAAAACTTTGATTCGAAATTTAAATTTATCTAAATTACTGCTTTTAGATCTTTGGTGAAAATGATTTTTTACAAATGTGCTATTTTATTTTTATATAAAAATTAAGTAAAATTCAAAATATTGGTACTGTTTTTTAATGACTGGAAATTCAAGTTTTGTTTTTTGTTTTGTTAGTCATTCACGGTTTTGCTCACCTATTGCTAATATCTTTTTGAATTTTTAATCTTATCATCTGATTTCTGTAAGACATTCGACTGACCTAATTTTATTTTTGTAAAGTTAATTTATCTGTAGATATAAAATTAGTTGGGCTGTGATAAGCAAGCTTTTTTCGTAAACAATTATGGAAATTGGCCTAAAATATTTTTTTTGCATCCAAATTTCTCGAACAGTGAGCCTTCCGAGCGAAAATATAGGGATTGTTAAAATTTTATAATATAAGCAAAGCTTGGTGCGTAGCGATTAATTATCGCAGTCTGATTTGTTCATTTTTTTTGTTTGTTTTGCCTAAAAGTTTCGGAATGATCAACCGAAATTGAATTGTAGTTCTCTTATAATTTCGTAATTTTTCATTAATGGAATATTGTATAGAATACTGGATATTATTTCGAGCAAAAGGGATTTTAAAATTTCATATTGGGATTTTCCTCTTCTATTGCTCATTTCTTTCTTTCTTTGGCAATTACTTTTTTATTTTTCAGAAGTTTTTTCATCCTCTCAGCTTTAAATTATAAATTACATTTAGCGGAAAATAGAAATGGAATTTTTATTTTTATATATTTTGTATCTCGTTGCAATTATGGTTATTTGTATTTCGTATTTCATGTTTCGAATATAACCGTTCTATTTGATAATTTTTCAATACATCCATAAGGTTTTCCTGAAAATTGGCGGATTTTTGCAGGATTTTTTGCGGACAAATTTTTCTTGAAAAACTTCACAAAACTTCTGAGCACGTGGATGTGCGGAATTTTTTAGACTTGCAGAGAGCGTCCCAATTTGGAGGTTGATGGCTTGGGGCCATACCAAATGGGCGTTTTCATTTTGATCTCATAACTGGCCTCGATCGAAAAATAACCAGAAGATGTTTGGAACGGAATTCCCTTCACCAGTGGGAACATGTAGCAAATGTCAAGATTGTCAGGTAAAAAGTGTCAACCAAATTCAACAAGGATTGATAAAGAGATATGGAGTGTTCGAGCCCTGTAGATTTATGGTGGGCTGATAGCCGTCATGTCGCCTTCTTAATGCTGAAAAGCAAAAACGCCAAATGGTTCCCAAACTAAAATTTGCTTTTAAGTGTATTATATTACATTACCTTTTGCATCTTCTGTTATACCAGCCGTCGAAGTCATATAGAATGCAACGACAGCTCGCGAAATATCCAATTCATTCTATGATTCAGAGGTTTTTTAGCAAGGCGATTTGGTGCCTGTACTAGGATTCAATAAAATTTATTCCACAAATAAATAATTGCGTTTAATCCCCGGCTTAAATGTAGCTATTTTTGTTCCAATGGTTTCAGAATATGCGGGAAAAATTAATATTGGAATATTTCATTAAACAACTAAAAATTAACACATGGGGTTTTATTGGTTCAGTTTCGAATAAGTGATGTCGAAAGCTGTGGAATTATAAGCTGGTAGAAATTCTGAGTTATTTGCTGAAAGATCATAATCCACTCAGTGGGATCGAAATGGTGGTGAATATTTGCCAGCTTAGTTTAAAATTGTCCTTAATTGTTAAGCATGTGTAGTTAGAAAACTACACTACACATCTTCATTTTAAGCCAAAAAAATTTTGTTTTGTTATTTGTTTCTAAATCTGCTCTTCTTTTTTCTAGTTTATTCCGCAATGAAGCTTTCGAATGAAGTTCTCGGTTTCTGAACTTGAGATTTGATCGAACAAAATATGTTAGGTTCGGCCCAGTCGGAGTGAATTTGCCATTGTAGAATCCAGTTGGTGATGGGAACCCACTCTAAGTTCAGATAGCAAGATCAGGATGAATCATGACCAGTCCTACTTTCTACAGGCATGTAAAGATCAATAAGCATAATGCACTAAATTTATCGATGAAAAATGACGGAAGAACATAATGAGAATTGGAAAAGTAAACGATTCTTGGCTTATTCATTTTCATCTAAATTCATTTTTTCGACCACATTAACTGTTTCATTTGATTGTGGATTGATCACACCATCTCGGATTGAAAAATTTTCAAGTTTTTTAGCGCACATCATTTCATTATTATGATTAGCCTGTAAAAAACCTTTGGTAGGAAAGGCCATAGTTCAACTTTTTTTCCGTAATTTTCGTTTATGATAAAAAATTTGGCAACAATTTTCACCTTTACAACTTTTAATTTTTCATACATTGGACGATATGTTTCAAAATATTGCTTAAGGCATTTTTCTGTCTCCTTTAAAAATTCATCGAATCCCTCTGCCGTTAAAGATGAAACTTAAAAAAAAAATTAACAAATTTTGCTTTTGGAAGATTTTTGCTTTCTTAATAATGAAAAAATTGAAAAAAAGATTAAAATAAAGTTCGGTTTCTGAGAAAAAAATTCGAAAAGATTCGCACAGCGATTTTACAATTGAGATTTAACAAAAAAACCTATGACAGGTGAAAGATTTTCGTAAAACTGGTCAAGAACGAGACTTAAAGATCGAGTTAGATCATGCATGTAGGACGATTTGCCTGAATCGAGAGCTTCATGGAAATCTTCAAAACTTTTCATCCATTTCGTAACAAAACTCGGATATACTATATCTGCCTGGAGAAAAGAATCTCGTAATTGAATGCATTTTTCTGCTTCCTTTAAAAATTCTTAGGCAAAATTCTTCAAGACAAGGATCAGTGCAAACATTCTATTAAGCTTCGTTAAAAGTTAAAGTCAAGAGAAAGAGAAAAATGAATGTAAATTCAATAACCACTAAAAATAAAACAACTATAAAAACTTAAAAAGTGTTGGAGTTGAAACTTAGAAAGCCAAAAGAAAATACTAGAAAATTAACCTTATTCAAAACAATTATGAAAGGTAGTTTTGTCCGATACAAAATGGAACAAGCATAAAGCATATTGGACATAAAAGTAGTAGGATTAGCAGCGCGAACAGAATCAACAATATAGGCGACAACAACCGGATGAGTTGAAGCTAAGGTTTCTGTAATTATAGAGCCAGAAGCAGACCAAGTGAAAGCTTCAATTTGACCAGGAGTATCAATTATGCAATGAGAACATAAATCTGCTCTATTTTTCAGCAAATCCATCACCTAAAATTTAATTAATACGACTGAATTACTAAAAATATAGAAAAGTGAAAAAACAATTAGCCATTTGCAAATATAAAAACAAATATAATTTTACCAATTATTCTCGAATTTAATCCATTTGCTAATTCGCATTAAATTACAAATAAAAAAAATTTGAAACTTTGAAAATTTGAAAAATTTGAATAAAAAATCATCTTATTTATATATTTTTTCATGGAAATAATTTGTAATTAAATGCGCTAAAATTTCAGTTAAAGAAATCAATATATAACAATTGTGAGCATTAAAATAAATAGAAAATTCCATTCTCCAACTAACTATCCTAAATTAATGAATAGTTGATAGATATACGCACTTGATCAAATCGCGTACATAACAAATTCAAACAAGTCATTATTGCTCCATTAGGTCCAAGATTATATTCTCGCATGACGCTTTTGTATTTAACGGTATCCCTGATATCAATGTTCACTGGATAAGGTACGTTAACGACAGCCGGGTCAAGATTAATCAAATACGGCTTATATTTATGCTGCCGGAGATAAGAATTCAATTGCTGAAAATTGTTCATATATGCTTTAATAATATAGAAGACAAAAGTCTTGGGATGGAAAAAAATTTAAATTTTCTTCTTACATTTTTTTCCACGGAAATTCGATCCAAACATCTAATCCTGACAATAGAAAACTTAATCCTGATTGGCTTTTCATATACAATGGAATTCACTTGATCACTTTATAATAGAACCTAAAGCAAAATTACCTGCACAAAAGAGCTTTTCCCAGATCCTGCCATGCCTAATACAAGGATACAAGGAAAAGTAGCACATCTTTGTTCCGAGATATTGGATGAATCGGCGGTGAAATCTACTGAAGACCCCATTTCCATCCAACAATTTTAATGTTTTTTTGATTAGCAAATAGCTGAAATATTTGCAACAAATTACTAACGATGAATTTCTGTTATGCAAAAATCCAGAAAACGCAATTTGATCAATATAAACATTGCTGAGACAATTAAAATGAACCCATATTTTGCCAAAATTATCCAACAAAATAAAGTCAAAAATAAAACCAGAATTAAAGAAAATAATTCTGACCATTTCTTGATATCTTCTGATGAAAATCATTATTTAATATTTAATTGAATTGATTTAATTATTTAATAGAACAATATAATTACTTACCAACTACACGTTCATTCAAAAAATTCTGTTCAAATATTGCCTCTATTTTCATAATGAACGAATAGTTTCAAAAATTAATAGAATTTTAAAATAAAAAGGAAAAAAAAATACGAAGATGTGGCTGAGAAATTACAAGCACAATCTAAAAAAATCGACTCCTACAACTACCCGCATAAAAATATTCCAAATATGATTGGTTACTACAGCTGATATAATGAATTTATTGAGCAAGAAAATAGGTAATAATATAAAACAAAATTAAAAGAAACAAAACTGCAAAATAAATCTTAAATAAATAGCGTTAAAAAATATCAAAAATTAATAATTATAATTAAAAATTAAAATTTATCAGCTGAATAAACGAATTAATAACACCGGAAATACGGTCCATCGTTTTAAAACCGGACCCATACAAAAGAGTAATAAATATAGTACGCTAAGTTCGAAACAAATATAATAAATATACTACGTTAAGTTCGAAACTAAAGAGACCACTTATAAATCTTGGATTCCATGCAATTTTCTGTAAAACGATGGACTTTGTTCAGGCTTCGGATCATCTGGGACGATATTTAAAGAAGTGCTGGATGATTTAGCGCTTGACGGACTCCTTGATAACTGTTTACGGATAGAACCCGGAACACACCCTCTTACAATGCGAAACGGATTTTTGTTATGGACAACAAAACTATTCTTTTTTGGCATCTCCAGCAAATCACATATTAAATCCAGTTTAGATTGACGTGCTTTTTGACGTCCCTTAAAATGTTCATATTAATTTTTTATACTGCAAATCAAGTCAAAAAAGCCAAATTATGAAAAGATTGGCCAAATAATTAATTTCAACAGAAATGAAAACATAAAATGTTAAAACATAAAATGAAATGGAACCTTTGTCAAACGTTGCTTGGCAGCCATACAACGAATGTGATCATCGAATATGAATTTCGCCGTTAACAAAGGATCAGTACGTTTTTCAGAACGACTGCGTGCGTCATTAACCACGATATGCAAAGCACGACTGTCACTTGGATCACCAGTTATATGAGTATCCTTGAAAAACATAGTAGTCATGAAAGTATAAAGAAATAAATCGTTAAAATACAAAATAATTGCAGAAAAACCTGAAGTAATCCAACAAAACGAACAATCGCCCAACCAAGCCGCTTGCTATCTGGCTCCACAAGAATCAATTGGATCTGGTCAGCTACAAGAAATCTCTGAAGCCTTTCGGATTTACTTATTACCACAGTACATGATAATAAATCACTATTATCTAAAAGACAATGATAAATACCATGTGCTATTTAAAAAATGAATGTAAAGAACTAAAGAAGAATAAATAACCCAAATTGATACAATCGTTTAATTCCACCGCAGCATTATCGGCTGATGAAAGTGGCAAATAAATATCACTCTTACCCATTAAATCAAATATAAATTTGCGTATATGGAAGAAAAGTTGAATTGACTGAAAAACTGCTATTTTTGAAACAATAAAAATAATAAATAAGACAAAAAAAATGATTTTAAAGGATTTTGGAAATATAAATTGTAAATACGAATAGAAACCCTTCGTATTCTTTCTTCATTACCGCTAGGTAACCTTTTTTTCAACTGGACTCCGCTGAGAGGAGTATTTGATGGAGGAAGAAGTAATGACGGGTCGACGCTGATAATATCTACTCGGAATATTTCGCGCTGTAAATGCCAATGGTAAAATATTTTTGAATCATAGTATTCTGAATTTCTATACTGCCTAGAACCAAATGACAAAAATAAAATAAATTGAAAATGTACTTCAAAATGATAATATTCATCTTCAAACATTTCAAGAAATAAATCTTCCGAGTAGACGACGGATGACAAAGTATTTACAATTTCTCTACGAGCAGCGACAGCGGTTTGTTCGCAGAAAGCATAAGCATCTGCATGTTCTTCGGCAGGCAATAATAGCTGGCGAAGTACGATGCAGCAAAGCTCAACTGTAATTGTCCTTACAGCAGAATCTGAAACGGTAAAAACTTCTATTCTCAACAGTCCCATATCACACAAGTTAAATTTTTTTAAGAATCTAATGTTCTATTGTAATATAATTTTTGCTATTTTTGTAACTATAAACGAAAAGAAAATTTACCAGATAATATCAAATTAGAATACCAAATTTTTTGATAATGAAAACAATAATTTATTTTATGTAAAGAAAATTATGTAAAATAAAAAATTTAAAAATAAAAAAAACTAACCTGGTTTCGAACAATTTGTTAAAATCTCAAGCAATTCAGTTAAAATGTTTGAATCAGAATAAATACTGCCGTTCTTTGGATTCCCAAAGGTTGCTTCAAGAATATCAGTTATTATACCTACAAAATTTTATGAACAATTAATTACATAATATTTAGTGAAAAAAGTATGTTATATGTGATAATTGGTATGCATCCCACAGCACAGACATTTCCAGTTGCATTATTTGCATAAAAAATAAAATTTTAAACTTACTTACTTAGTTGCATATCTATAGAAAATATTCAAAAAAGAGAATATTTTGAGAAAAATCAAAAAAATTTGAAAAACATCGAGAAAACAGTTGCCAAATAACAAACCAAAAGTGCAGAGAAAGAATTGCTAACGGATAGAAAAATAAATTATAAAAATTTAAATAACTTACTTTCTGAAGATGCTATTAAAATGATTAAAAAGTCTATGGTGAATCAATCAAATTTCATAAAAATTAAACAAAACAAAAAATAAAAGAAAAGAGACGGAGGAAAAATGGAAAAAAGTTATTACTGATTCTTACTGAATGTACCTCCGAAAATAGGAGCACGGAAGAATAAAAAAATTGTCTAAAGAAATATATATAAATTTTTCCCATTCTAATCAAGTGTTTTATAATTTGCCTATTTATATAACAAAAAAAACTCAGAATTTGTTCCCAGTTAGTAATTTCAATAATTCGGATGATGATACATATTTTTTTTTAAAGCGAAAGCTTCCACTATTTTCTAAATGGAAAAAAATAAATTCTTCAAAACAAAAATTAAATATTCTAAATATTCATATTTTACCTTTATTTTGACAAATGGCATACAGAAGCAAAATACCAAAAAAAGATGAATGATCAACTCGATTGCATTTCAGCAACGAAAGATAACGATTGAAGAAAATCCTGAAAGATATATAATTTTAGAAAATTTGATAAGGAATGATTTTTGAAAACCAAAAAAAATAAACAAATAAAATAAAAATAATTTTAAAAAATTTCGAATTAATTTCAGGAACACAACACTTTTCAATAAAAAATTTTTCAAATTTTCAACAAAAATTCTCAAACTTGGAATCGATGGTAGTAGCGACATTTGATATTCCAACATTTTCCAGGATCAACATGGCATTTTTCCCCCGAATCCACTGAAAAGTAATATCTCGACAATCGCCGAACAAAAACGATGACAAGACTGCCTGCACAACCTGTTTGAAAATTGCACATAGACACAATAAATGATTAAAAATTGAAGAACAAATTGGATATAAAAATTGGAAATAAGCTAATATAAATATAAATTCTTCATAATAAATCAAATTTAGTCTTGCAGAATACCATAAAATGGACATCAGTCCAGATCAAAAATATAAATAATATATTTTTATAATAATCAAAAACCTGTGATTCCGTTATTATAAGAAGAAAATTTGACAAGAAAAATAATGCCGAAACAGGAGTTATGAGAACAGCCTTACAGCACAAACGAACTGTGCAAAGAGAACACAAATAAAGAGGAGCCAGAAGGTGTTGAAATATGATTTCAGACAGCAAAGCTGATAAATCTTCATCCTACAAATAAAAGAAGAATCACTAAAAGGACGAACCGTTCTTTTAAAAACCAATTTGAAACAAATATTCAAAGACCAACTTTAGCGAGAAATATATCATTGAGATAATGGACATAATCAATATATTCATCAACAAGACCGCTTAATCTATCACGATTACTTGACTCATTTTCTGCTGAACGAGCAAACTGATCAATTTCAACCGAATTTTGAGCAATAGAATCAATTAAAATGCAAAAATATTGACGAGATTTTAAACGAACAAAATTCTGCATAGATTCATCTCGTACTAAAAATTATAAAGAAAATTATAACTATAATTATGATAATTGAACAAGCGAACAGATAGCAGTAATCCAAAACATAAATGATTATTATCCCCTTTACAAAATATACAAAAAAATCTATTAAAAAAATTTGGAAACCTTTATAAATATTTAAGGTAATAGTTCGCACAGCAATACGCACCATTGATTCACTGTGATTGAAAAATTTAATTGTTTCAACATATAAAGGAAATTCACGACTGGCCTGGAACCAAAAAAATGGGAATTGAACTTTTTCTTGTATAAAATGTACAAAATAAAAAATTTGCTATACCTCATTAAAGAAGAAATGTATTGTATTTGTATTGAGGCGAAACGAAAGAGTTTTAAGAAATGATATATAATAGGCCATGATCTCTTCATTATCGAAATTGAATTTATGCGTTATTATCGAATTGATATGATTGTTGCTGAGAAGAAAATCTGAAAAAAAATGAAGAAATAAAAAGAAATAAGTAAAAAAAAATATTCGAAAAAAATTCGAAATAGAAATGTAATCAAAAATAAATTCTGGAAGAAAAAGCTACATAATGATGTCTCATGACGCATATTTTCAAACAAAATATTCAATGTTTGCAGCAATTGAACACATATATATGAGCCGCATTTTTGCCTCATTATCGATAAAAAATGTGATAACATTTGGCGTTCCAAGAAGAAACTGAAATATTCGCTATCGTATTATAAAAATATAAATACAATTATAAATGTATGATTTTAATCTTACTGAATTTTAATCTTATCTAAAAAACTTTACTATTATATAATTTTAATAAAACTTAGGCCGAATGTATAATTTTTTTTTTTTATATTCTTCTGACAAATAAAGAAAAAAATCAATTTTTCCTCCAAAAGTTTTTGAAATGAAAAGATCAATATATCTTGCAAGAAAATAAAATACTGAAGTGAAATTTTAAAGTGAACTCATTAAAAAATGAATAACAACTAAAAATATTGGAAATATACTCAAAAACTGCGCTATCATTTTGATCGCCCCAAATTAAAAGTTCAGCTAAGGCTCGTAACGCTTCCACAAGTAACATTTTATTTCCTTCAGTGACCGTCTCATTTTTTATGAGTATACCATGTAAATATCTATAAATTCAATGATAAAAAATAATAAAATAAAAAACAATTGTGAAAAAACCAAAAACTGGATATAATTGTGAATATGAAAAATTCGACAGGAAAAGTGGCTATGATAAATCTTCTTCTCACAGCTCTCATCATAACTGGTTAGGCTGGCTCTAGCAGCTATAAGCGTAAGACATGTCCAAACAGTGCGGTCTATACCATCGTCGACAGTAATAGAAGCCATTCCTTTTTCCATCGTCTAATATTGTCCATATATTGCTGGTCCACCTATACGTTCAAAATCTTTCTGACCGTATTAGTACAGGTCTTGATTGGCCCGCTTTTGACGCCTTCCATCACACGGTTTAGCAAATAACGAAATATGCGTCAACTCCTGTGGTAGAAAACAACGGAGAATGTGCCCTAACCTGCGAACGCGGTGTTCTGTGATAACATTATTTATGCAAGTGGTATTTGAACGAAGATGGATGCGATCTTGTGAGATTTTTTCCATGTTCGACGAATGCACCTTAGACAAGAGTGGTCAAAGGCAGATAGCTTCTTAATATTCTCCACTCTCATTGACCATGTCTCAGAGCCATATAGCAAGATTGAACGAATCACGGCTATATAGATGCGAACTTTCGTTTTTATGATGATTTTATGACGGCTCCATAACGATTTCGTCAACCGGAAGAACGCATTTCTAGCTGCCGTGATCCGTTTTTGCCTCACCATTTGGTATTAGAGTGGATCCAAGGTATTTAAAATCGGGCACTTCCTCGACCGGCAATGAATTTATAAAATATTTACATTGACCCTAAGTCCGATTCTCGCTGCAGTCGCTGATACGTTATTTAACATTATTTACATTTCGCCATAACTGTAAGGAAATAGAATTACATCATCAGCGTATTCAAGATCTGTGATACGGTGCTCTGGACTGATTTGGATACTCTTAAGTACCGATAAACGATGCCCATTATCCAATCTATCGCATAGTTGAATACTGTAGCGGAAGGGATATGACCTTGACAGATCCCTTATTTCTTATTTCGAAAGAGTCTGTCAATTCCCCATGACCACACCCACGCCGACGTGCGCTCATAAAATGCCTTTATAAGTCGAATCGAATGACCTTCCCTAGAACACCGTCGCATTCCATTACCCTCCAAAGCGCCTTTCTATCATTTGAATCAAAGGCAGCCGCAAAGTCGATGAAACACGTAACAGTAGGTTGGAAATATCTGAAGCGATGTTCCAACACTTTTCTTAACTATATCTAATATCTAATCAGCACAATCACGCTCTGAACCCAGCTTGATTACAGCACATCCTGCTATCCATGCATCCATAACTCCGTTAAGTAAAAGAGAAGCAAAAATTTTTCGCTGAAATGTCTAGTAGATTCCTCGATAATTGTCGCAGTATATCCTATCATCTTTCTTAAGAATTGGGAGCAGAATTGCTTTGCTGCAATAATCTGGTAATATTTCCTTTTTCCATACTAGAGATTATATTTGTTGAAGGTGCATTATGAAGGACGATGGACAACATTTGAAGAGTTCAGCCCGGAGACCATCCTCTCTCGGAGTTTTATTGGCCTTGAATTTGTGGATAACACAGATTATTTCCTCTTCTGTTGGAGGCTCGAAATTGCAAACGTATGGCTCGGCGAACTATATCAGGTGAACAAGATGGCGTTTCATGGTTAAGTTTGGCCTCAAAGAATTCTTACCATCTTATGAGGCGGTCCTTAATACTGGCACGCCATTGCTGTCCCTTAGCATTTCACTGATAATTCCCCGAGTCATAGTTGCTTTATGAAGAAGGAATAATTTCCTATTATCGCCAAATCGAGCTGCCGTCTCCATTCTCAAGGCCATGCCACTCCAACGGTGATTTCTGTCTCGCCTGGCTGCTGCTTTCGTGACAAATTCTCTATTATGAATATTATTTAATTAAATAAAAAACGAAAAATTGCTCGCAAAATATAAGCAAAAAGAATAAAATAATATGAGAAATTAAATGATAAATGTAAATATAAAAAATGAAAATTATGAGCAGAAACGGGCCAATAATTTCCCCCACAGTTCTCTAAATAAACAAAAGGCTTAATCAGCCAATGCTTAAATATTTCTTGAAAAAGGCATTGGCTGTTCATCGCAGAAATAAGAACTTCTTTGAAGTAAAAGCTCCTCGAAAGGCACTCACTTGAGGTAATCAACTGAGTGAGGATTTCTCGGCCTCCAAAGAGACGCCGACGATGAAGACGACGACCCACTTAGCCTTTTAAGCATGCCGAGCTTAACCCTGCAAGCGAATATTTTTACGATTTCAAGCGATTAAATAAAATTCTGCAAATATTTATGCAAGTAAATATTAAAAATAAAATGGAAAAGTTGTAAAATTTAAAAAAGATATATTTAAAAATATAAAACAAGAACAGATTGTGCCAAAGTAAGAGAATACTTTATAAGACGGCTTATGTTTACTTGAACCGCGAACTTAATATTTACGCCGCAACATTATCAAAACCGCAAAAATGAAAATTTAAAGCCGAAATACGACTTTTTTGCGCCAACTAAATATCAGCTTCGGGCCTTTAATATTCTTTCTGTGGATCGTCTAAATTAAGCGGCAAGATTTTGATTTTTGCATTTGTATTTGAGTGTGGAAGAGTGTATCTTTAATTTCTTTGTTAGAGTCAGCAGCTGCCTTAGGTTTGGTTGTTCTTGCTTCTTCCAAATCAAATATTTCGATTATCTGATAACTGATTTTCGCTGGAAAAAAGTAGTTATAAATGAAATCAGTTAATATCCCAAGATCTTTCAACTGTCTCAAACTATAAGATCTGCGAACGACAAGTGCATTTCAAACCGCATTATTGAAGCAGCTCACTGAAATGAACATCAATAACATCTCTGGAGCAGCAGAATACTGCTCCCAATTAAAGGAATATCTCCCAAAATCAGCCATTTCCACACTAAGATATGCTAGTAGGTAGTAGGGAGTGCTTACCTGTATTTCTGCTGCAAAGCAGAGTACTCACTTGTACTATCGACTGTGGAAAAATACCCGCATTATACTAACAGTGGAGCTAACCTGTCCAGATTAAACAATAACTGGCTTGTTGGTAAGATTTAAATTTAGTTAAAGGAGACTTCGAATGTTCAGGATATAAAATTGAATTAGTGGTATTGGTGGTGGCATGGAATATGGAATCCAATAAGGACGCCTCATTTATGCCCGAGAATTGCTAAAAAATTTCGTTTCTTTCCACGTATCTGCAGAGTTCTCGAATTTTTGAAAATTTGCCTCCTTTTATTTTAATTAATTTTTCTTATTAATTTTTCTATATGTTTCTTAATTTTTCTCTTTCAAGTCAGACTCGTTGCATCGAGCAGAAGGAGATCCGTTCGCCGGAGAAATACTTGAAATAGAATCGCCAGCACTTCTCTAATCACTTGCATCTTTTATTAATTAGTTAAAATCATTTATTTTTATTAAATATTTCTTTAAAGTTCCAATTTTCCCCATTTTTTCGGGTTAATAAAACAGTTTGCTTGCAATTAATAAATTTTATTCTTCCTACTCAAAATTGCCATTTTTTGCGCTATAATTTTGCGCATCAAGGTCGAATTTCTTGGGAGAATAAATCAAAAAGCGTAAAATATTCTAATAAATTGGTATTATGATCGACTGGAATTTGGCTTTTAGGCACCAACATCCATTCGAATACTTTGCTTCTTTGTTTGATAAATTTCAGCACATTCTTTCTGTTACCCTCAAAATTATTCATTTCGTGATTTCATTGATTATGACCGAATTTCGTCGAATTCTAATTTTATTCGCGATCCGAGGCAAATCTTTTTGATATCGGCGATTTTTTAAAATCGGAAATCGTAAGGATTTGACTGATTTCAAAATTGCAAATTCTTTCCATCATGCGCCATTTTGTTATCAGTAATAAGCTTTTTTCTTAATGAACTTTTAAATGTTTATTCGAGCAGAATGTACAACGGCGCGAAATGACTTCGAATGAGTGGTTGTTGTTGCTGTTCTCGTTGTTCCTCGTTGAACGATTCTTGAATCATTAATCTTAATACCACATTGTAATCGAAGTACCAAACTGCACAATCCTTATTAATGGATTAACGATCGATGTGGTACTAAGATGGGTCAAATCGAAACTATTCGAACACGGCTTTGAGTTTTCGTGATCTTAAAAAGAATTGAAACTTGCTAAAAATTAGCCTTCGTTCCACTGCTTTATTATTTTTTATTAATTAATGTAAAACATTTTTAACGGATTAAGGTTTGCTTTATTAAAAATATATTTTCCACAGTTGAATTGAACAAATTACTATTTAAAAGTTTGAACCCACTTTTACATTTGATACCAAGTAAATTCCCGCAAAAATTTCTCATTATATTATAGCCAATGCCGGTGAAATATTTAAATAAATTTGTCTTCTGTGGCTTTTAATAAATAAATAAATAATAAATTTTTGATGTGTGTTTACTAGTAATGAAGTAAGGCAAGCAAAGCCATAAACTTCTGTAATATGGATTGAATTTGAAACAATGAACAATGTAATAATGTAAAGTCAAAGTAAAGTGGAACAATGCGAGAGAAATTATAGAAAATGAACGGAGCCAAATAATTTTCTGAAAAGTTTTACATAGTTCTCTCTGAAAACTATTTATAAAATTATTTTCATTTGTTTTTTAATATTTTATTAAATTGTTAAATTTTTTCGTTTTTTTGAATTAATTTTAAAATGATTGTCGCTTATTTGCACTATGAAAAAGAGAAAGTGGTTGGAAATAAATCGTTTTTTGCTGAAAATCAAACGAAAAAAATGAAAATTAAATTTGGTTTATTGATTCAATATTCGAGTTTTCGTGACTGATAAACTGATAATGTTGGAAATTTATCAAAGTTTTTATCGAAGAAACAATCATTTTTCGTTTACCATCTTATTTCAAATTTTTCATTATTCTTTTGGTCTCTAACTAGTTTTTTCACAATTTCTGTGAACATGGTTCATTCTTTTTCTAACATTCTTGTCTGTCTAATTCCATTTACTAATAGGCAATGCTTTTCATCGGAGAGTCAATGGGTTTTCTCTTTTAACGACAACTTCAAGAGTTGTTCAAGGCGTGGAAGGAACTGATGCTGCTCAGCTGCTTTCCTCTTGGCCAAAGCTAACATTTAGCATTCGATAATCAACTTGCAGTCAGCTTGATGTAACTTTTCGTTTTGAAATTCTAGCCTGCAAAATCAATTAACATAAAATTACACTTTGCATTCGTTTAGTGGCAACAGTACACTCCAGTTTGCTCCTATTAATTATAAATGACTGACTGGTCGTAACTGACCCGTTATAATTAGTATTCAGATTTCATACTATTCTCCGATAAGCCTTTTTGAGATGGATTATTCCGTTTCGCAGCAATGAATTCTGCCAAACTTTCTGAGCAATGAGTTTTTCCGTAAATGCGTTTAATGACCCATCTAAGTGCGATATTATTTTTAATTAATTTAGATATCGGAGCATAGTGACAATAGTGATAAGCTATAGGCAAAAGTGGCGATAGTTGATGCCCACCATTTCCGGTTAAACTTGCTATACCAGCTATTAGTGCGACGAGAAGTTTTTGCGAAAGGGTCAGTGGCGAGAGGAGTCGCCAGCAACTCCAATTATTCACTTACTCGTGCAGGAATGAATCATTTTAAAGAAATACGGAAATTTCATTGAGAAAAAATTAATCTCTGCTAACGGTTCTTAAGAAGCAATTATTATTTATTGAATAGCGCCACTTTTTTTTTCTTCGTTGGCAATCAAATGTGGGATATAGCATTTCAGCGTAGCATTTAACAGCAATGGTCCCTTCCTTTTTGCCCCTATCGGCAATTTATACGACTGCCGTAATGAGTTGCCATTGTGAGTTGCCGTAAGGGAAGCAGTGGTGGTAAATTAGGCACGAGAAATACTGAAACTCTTCAACATCCTCTACTGTAATATTGTTTTGGCGAGAATGCATAACTGAAATTTTAATTATATCATGCACATTTCATTCGATCGTAATTCTCATCTTTTTTTCTATCACTATTGATTTGATAGACAAATAGAAGTTGCGCTTTAGTGAACCAGGCAAAAATTGCCTATAACGGTTACTAATTTGGCTAAGCCAGTGCTAACTAAAAATCTGGTAAGATCGACTAAAGCCGTGACTGGGATGGACTAAAGCATTGTTAAGCATCAGACGAGATAGATCAGACCAGTTATGCTAGTTTTCCTTCTCACAGATGGCTTTCTTGCCTTTTTGTACACATTTCCATTGTGTACATGTGCTGGTTTCAGTTTGATCAATGGCTGAAGGCGGTTACGTCACTGATTACTTACCTATAGAGTAAGCTATTTTAATCTATCTCGTTGTCGTTAGAACCAACTACAGCATTTAATTACGATGTGAAGGCGAGGCGACCGACTGGTATATTGCTTCAATTAAGGTCGAGCTTCATGGATTCTTTGACGAGAACCAGTGACGTAAACCTGTCATCAAGCGTCCGAGCGCTGGCAATCTGCTTGTTGCAAAACGATTCTTTGGCAAAGGTTTTCGTCGTAATAGATTCTCGGAGCGAAAGACGGACTTCTTTCGATTGATCAGAATTATTTGCTCTGTTTTGATATTTTTTAAATAAGCATGAAATGAGTGCAGCCAGAAATTCTTATTTTTTTAGCATTTATAAATGATTTCATGTGAAATCAATCGATTCGATTTCAGTTTGCATTGTTCTCACTTGGTGCTGCTTTCAGCGGAACCAGACGAAGGCACATCTGTTAGGATTTTTCGACATCTCTTTCGTATAAATCAATTTATGGGGCATTAGGGAGAACATTTAACTGCAGCACTCCTCGTTATTATTCGCTAATTTTTCGCAAATCATTCCGCTTTTCTCGCATCGAAACTTTATACTTATATTAGTTTAACTTTTTTACATTCATCGTTCATCGCTGCTAGTTGGGCTCACTTCACTGACTGTTAGCACGATGGGACGCTTTCGCTGCGAGTCGTTTTGAGTAAAGGTGCGTGCCCGGACAGCTGTTTATTCCTGTATGGAACTGTGGCGCTTAAAATGATAAACCAAAATTACATTGAACTATCAATTATTATATTATATACTTACTTGTAGTTACTTAATATATAGCTATTTGTTATATTTTCAAACCCCCTTTCTAATTGTCTATTATGATTTAAATGAACTGGTTTTGGATTTGCCAAAGTATTCGATTATTATCGGTTTCATTACCAGTTTGGTTTGGTGCAGTTTCCAGGATTCTCGGGTTTTCTCAGACGTTTGCGCAAGACTGAATGTAGCCTCAAATGTTTTTTCTTCCTTCTATTCTTCGTATTACTTGATGAAATTGCAAAAACACTATCATTTCAGTGATCCGCAATTTTGGATTGCTCTCTAAAGCGAAGTGTGTGGAATCTAGAAGGGAAGCGCTGCATAACTGCTTTCGTTGATATTTTAGTATTTCATTAAATGTTTTCGTTCTGAACTTGTTCCTACTCGTTTTTCTCGCATTTGTCTTCTTTGTCTACCTTTATCAGCTGTTCACTAATTCAAATGAAATATCACTCCTTCGTTGTAGTTATGCTACAATATATTTATATAGTATTTTGGTTACTATGTTGGAATTTAGCAGTTGATGGAGCAGTTGCAATGATTTCTCTCAGTGAATTGTAAATAATCCGCCACTTGGATGAGTGATGATTAGCTCTGTCGATGAAACTCGTTTATCTGACCGGTCAACATTACTATTAATTTTATTAATATTATTAATTTTATAAATTTTCCTTAAAACCTTATTTCTCTGAAATTCCCTTCTCTTTCCATTCTTATAGATCATTCCTAAACTTTTTTTAGTGATCTATTTGCTGCTAATTTATTGAATACTTCTATTTCTTCCGAACTTCTAACTGCATTAATTATTTCTGGTTGTTTGGCTAACTTCACTGGTATTGGAACCCTTCGGCAATGAAGTATCGAATAGATAGAAGTCGGATATATATACTCTTCCAGTACACCCAAAATTTTACATTTATGGATAATTTATAGGTTCGGTCGCTGGAAATAATATAATTATATGCCTTTTGACTTCATAAAATATCGTATATTATATGGGTGAATCTTGTGGGTGAATAAGTTTTTGGCGCATTTGTAAAGTTGTTTTTCCATTAAATTTATTTTGAAAACGATGTTCGCGATTTCAGCGCCATATTTTTCAAGAATTCCGACAGCAATTTTTGACTGATATAATTTGCTATCTTTGCCTTCTTATCTTTTATCAGGCATTCTTTATCATTATCAATTCATCGTGTTGAAATTTTGCCACTTTTTTTGTCATTTGAGAATCTCTCGTTCATCATGCATGGCTAGAAATTTTTGCCAAGGTATTAATTGGCAAAAGTGGATCATCAGTACCACCCAGAGTTTTTTATAACTGCTTTATTTCTATTGATAGCAAAATCCGTGTTCCTCTCAACATTGTAATCACCATCCATTCGGCTATCCTGCTTGTCACTGGGATTACTTTAACCTTCATTTTCCATATCTTCCCTAGTTGTCTTTCAGCCCTTGCTATTTCTCTAACTTCTCTATTCATTCTTTCTGACGTTCCTATCGCTTGGAATTGCTATATTTATCAGTTCTGATTTCTGTGGATATCTCGTTGATTGGCCAGTTGATTACTTATTTATCTATCTATCTGGGTGGAGAAATCCCACAGAATCTTCGCCTTAATATTCTTTACGATTTTCTGAAATGAGGAATCGTCTGCTTAGTCTTGGGAGGGTCTAAGCCATATGTCGAATAAATGTTCCTGTAAATGATGTCTGCTAGGCCTTTCAGTGTTCCTGATTGCATTCTACATCCTGCAGCTAGGTCTTGGACTGTTTCTGTTGCGTTTTTGCACATTCAGCATCTAGAGTTATGTCTAGTGTGGTAGATTCCAATGTTGCCTTTTAGTCCAGCTTTCTCCAACCTCTGGTAAGATTTCACATTGTCATCAACCTCAGCTGTCGATGGTGAAATCCATGGTGGGTCTTGTCTCGCCATGTTACTTTTTTTCCTTGATCTTTTTCCGATATATGTGGTTGCTTCAAACATTCTTTCAACATCATCCTTTGATGCCATCTTGCTGATATATTCCTGAATACTTCAGGTTTCGTTCAAGGCAGTGGCTTACGCACTCAAACTCTGCCTGATAGCCTTTGATCTTGGGTGGAAATTTCCGTGCATTATGAGGAGTTTCCTGGTCTTCACATCAACAGATGTCCTCCTTTCTCCATCTTACACAGCTGCTTATTTGATGACTGGCATGGCATACATTGCATGGATTTTGTTCTTCCTGTTGAGCTGGCTCTTCAAGATTTGTCTTGTCTTTGGTGATTTTTAGATTAATAGTGAGTTTTTTAACAGAGTTTTTAACTTTTCATTGTGGTTAGCATGTGACTGTGGGATACGAAAGTACTAATAGTACGAAAGTAGCTAATCTGTATGTCGGTTATATGTCTTGATGGGTGGTGCGTACCATCAGTCATTATTAATTTCTCTCCCTTTGCTACCATTCAGTCACATTTCTCCAGTCCCAGTGATATTCCAATATTTTCTCTATTTTCTCTTTATGTTAGATAATTGAGAGAGTTAATGTTCATTTTTAGCATATAACTTGAAATCATTCATGTAGAGAAGATGGCTGATAATAGCTCCGCTCTTGAATTTATATCCATATCTGCTTTTTTTATGTGACTGAAGGGGTTTGGACCTATGCAGAACAATAGGAGTAATGCATCGCATTGGTATATGTCGCACTTTTGCAAACTGCTTCGAGTTGATTTCAAATGTTTTCCATAGTTCTACTAAGTCCTCAATGAACGTCTCCTGTTGAGCCAGACTTTGTATAGAGACAGACGTTCATAGATCCATGTGTAGGGCATGTGTGAGTCGTGGTTTCCTTTAGTCATTCCAAGCTATATACATATTGGCCTGTTAGGATTATGAGTCTGGTCTATTTAAGCGATTGTTTTGTCTATGAGCAGATGGTATTTGGAGCCTCTGGTGTTGTTCCCAATATCTTTTTGAACTGCACTCATACACTGATTCATGTGGTCATAAAGCTTGATGTTTCACAGGATTTTCAACATTGTGAGCAAGGCTTATTGGTGAGTAGTTGGACAGTCTTGTTCCTTTATGAGCATCTTTGATGATCAGTACTTTCTTGTGTTAACCATTCTGGATGAGAGTCTGCCAGAAGCAGCTGGTTAACCTGTGTCGTTAGGCGCTCATGAAGTCGCTGTTAGCTTTTTTAGCCATTAATTGTGAATCATATCCGGATCACGTACTGTCCAACTTTTCATATTTTTGAGTCGCTATTGGACCAGTAACTGTGATGGTAGCTGGTTTCTGTTCTGAGAGGTTGCTTATGACTTTTTCTCAAGTCTTGCAGCCATTGCTGTTATGAATCTTCTTTTCCTCTCATATATTCCAATATTGTATAGTTTCTGCTATTGGTGAATACAAAAACCTTGTTTATTTTACCATATTACTACACTGAAGTTGAGAATGTACTTTGGACGTTCCTTCGAAAACAGAGCATTTATTTTTTTAGCCTCTACATCTTTAGCCTAATGGCCAGCCTTTTAAGCCTTTATATAGCAATCTCCAGGGTTTTTGATGAGGTGTAGCCCTTATATCTTCGCATCATTGGGTACTATTTTTATTCTTCACACATTTCTGTTCTCTTTTAGTGTGGCAGTAGGAACTGTTGCGAGGGCTCTATTTGCATTATTTTCGATTATATTATCTGATGCATCAGTGAGCTTCGGGTAGATGGTTAATTACAGTGTGTACATTTCTTCTTTCATTCTGGTTCTGAGATGTAGTGCAAAACAGATCCATCTGCAGAGAGCTGAGAGAGCCCTTTTTCTTGTGCTGAAGCACTGAGCCATCAACTGTTTCTCAGTTAATGTGGATATGGTCTCTTTTCCATCCACATTATGCCTTTCAAGCCCATTATTTTTAAATTCTGGCGATGTCCGCACTAGCATGGATTCTACTAGTATGCGGCTGATATTGGGGTAAGGCTGTTAAGCATTAATGGAAGATGACTGTAGGAATGTCAAGATCATAATAGGAGCAAAATCATCTCTTGCTCAAGGGCCTCAAAGGAAAGGTGGAGGTAGAGACTTTGGCTGCGATTCGAACCAAAAGACTGCTGTTCCATGTCGATCGGCGGCTTTTAACCATTATAATAATATAATATTTTCATTTATTTTCATTAAAATCCAAAATCCAGAAACTCAGCACATGTCCATAATGATCTAGACCTAGAATTTTCAATTTGCATTTATCAATGGCATCTATGTCTTAATATTCGTATAATCATCTTTCATTAATGTTATTTTCTCAAATTTCTCAAATTTTACTCATTCTCTCTTTAGTATAATTAACGCAATCCATCTGTTTGTCCAACTTCTTTTTGTGCAGAAAATCCGATTTTTGCGCTTTCGTTTATTATCTTCATGAAAAAAAGTGTTCTTTTCTCAGTGGTATTCCTCTCGTATGAATTGCCATTGCATTATAGAAAACCATAGTTATTAAAGGCTTTATTACTTTAGAGCACATAATAAAGTATTTCTTTTAAGAATCTTATAAGAATTTCTTGTACAAGGCTGAGTTATTCTTTTTCTAGCAACACTATTAGATAAATATTAGATAAATACTTTATAGAGATAAAAGCAAAAGAAATTACTCTACCGCCATCCGGATTTAACTTTTCATGGCAGATTTACTCCCATCGAGATCGAATTTATGATGGCTTAACCTTAGTTAAATGGCTGTTCGACCATTCGACGGTTTCGTTCATGAACAAGTTAACTTTCGAAATTTCCATTTAGCGAAAATTGTAATGATGATACTTATTGTTGTAACATTTATTTTTTAAATATATGAGAAAAATAATTTTGACTTTTTTTCCAAAAATGCTTTCCAGTTACTCAAATATATATTTTCTTTTCTTTTCATTTCTATTCGTTTATTATTTTTATTATTTTTTCTAAATTTTATTTTTTTTTGCACTTCTTATTGAAATGATTTAAAAATAAATTTCCGATGAATTTATTTAAAAGTTTTAAAATTTCAAAAATTTCAAAAATTTACTTCAAAAATTGATTGTCGAAAAATTTTGCAAAAAAATACAATTTTTTGAGCGAAAATTTCTATAATAAAAAGTGATTTTTCTATCAAAAAGTTTCATCTAAACTAAGCTGAAGTGAGAGAATTACTGTCCAATCCTAAAACATTTTATAAGCGCTAAGTGAAGATCGGAGCAAATTTAAATAATTATCTTATGGTATGTTCTTGTTTTATATGTTAATTTGCTCTTAATTTTTTCAACCTCAGGGAATTCGACGACGTATAGCTAACTGTTTAATCGGCACTGTTGTAACGCTCCTTTGAAGGATCGGCTGGCCCTCAAATAATTCAAATATTTTGTTTTTTGAGTTCTTTATTGCAGCCGTTATGATTTGTCTGTTATTTTAAATATGCGAAATAATTAAATTCTTTTTTATATATATTTGTCTTACGTTAGTCACCAGTGAAACCGATGGAACCAGCCATGCTGTAAGCTCTTTGGAAGAGATATCAATTTCTGAGACCTTTCTTGTTAATAAGCAGTAATAAGTCTGGGAGTCGTTTTTAGTAGGATGGTCAAGAAGAATGTTGCTTCAACTAAGATCGAGTCATCACAGGTTGTTTCATATCGTTTGCTGATGGTCCTTTTGCTTCTATACCGAAGAGGTATCATCCTAACAGCCAGTGGTAAAAATCAAATCAAAGGAAAAGGACGACTGCACATTTGATGATTCTTAATGCCCATTTGCGCTACAAAATATTTATCTAAATATCTTTCGGACTTTGAATCGAATTCTCGATTTTCACATCTAAGTTTGCTATAACCGCTATTTGTTCATATATATTAAGAATTTAAAATTCATGGCCAGCATAAAGGATCATAAATTTATTGTCAGTTCTGGGTCTAGTAAATCTGCCAAAAATTCGTCGGTTTTTTCAATAATTTTCTTTTTTTGCCAGGAAAGCTCTTATATCAAATTTAAGTATTGTAATTAGCTGAAATTTATGAAAAAATGTGTCAAGAGAAGTCATTGGTGACATGCTTTTTTATTCTTTTCATAAATGGATTAGTGGCACGACTTTTATTCGTGTATTTATTTACTTAATAGGATGTGAATCTATTTTTTATTTTGGAGTGCCTTCTTTGTATTGTCAGCCATCGTTTTATTCGAGAATCAATTTGTTTCACGGCAGTTGTCGTTGGTGATAAACTTCTGACCTTGGTTCTTCCTTCCCTTCAGATTAATTAATTAATAATCGATTCAATCGATGCATCTGTTGTGGTTCCATCTTTACTTTTTCACCTTTTTTTGAGTTTTATATATTTATTTTGAATTTTGGATATTTTTGAATTGAAATGCTCCATGAATTCGAATTCATTTTAATTGTAGATTACTGAAATTTATAAAAAGATGTTTTAATGCTTTTATCCAAACTATGGTACTCTTCTGGTTTGCATATTATCATGAAATATATGAAACGTGAACTGGGAGCTGGAAGTATGAGGCGAACAACTATGATGTTGTTTTATGAAGCTTGGCGACAGGTTGATCAAGTGGTATATTGTTTCGATTAAGGACCACGCACCATAAGTCCGATTCCCCTCTTCCATTGAACGCGAAATATAGATGATGCTGCGCTGGTAGAGAGCCAAATTGTAAGTGTTGTTAGAAGTATTTTTACAAGAATTATCATTTTATAATTTAATTTTAGCTTATTAATTTTTGTATCTTGCAAATATTGACTATCACTGAGAATGGGGGTATAGAATGGTTCAGTTCATTACTGCCCTGATTTCACAGACCGATGGTTGCTTTTTCTCAGGAGTAAATTCGGATTGTTTTCCAAAAATTCGAATAATGCTGGCGGCTTACATGAATTGCTATCGCCAAGTGATTCTCTGGCAAAGATTTATCTGCTCCAACAAACTAGAGCAGCAAGGTTAATTAGAAACTATAAATGCCAATCATTTGCTCATAATAACGAAACGCCGCTATGGGAATTGTGAGTTATATGTAATTTAAAAAATTGTTAGAATCGATAAGTCTCAATCGATGATAATTTTTTCCAGGATAATATAGCGAAGAGTTTCGATCGATGTTTTTTCATTTTCACATTTTATATTACTTTATATTAGCGTTTTATTAAAAAATTTCCTTTTAATTCATGAAAAATCAAAAAATCGAGCCAAATTTCCAAATGTAAGGTTTACCAAATTTCCCAGCTGCAATTTATCTTTCTTTTTTTACTTTCGTCTTTTATAAAATCGCTTCAAATTCTAATTTGCCTTTTTTTTATAACAGAGTGCACCATTTTTGATTTGGTCCATTACTTGTTGGGGTGAAACGCTTCCAAGCCTCTCAGTCCCCTTTCGTGGCCCAAATTAACTGATGCGGCCTAATTTATCGAACTCTTCGATAATATTTCATTATCAGAAATTAGTTTATCAAAATATATGACCAAAGTTTATTTATCACTTTTTATGGCTATAATTACGCATTGGCCCGTTCCAGTTTTTGTTCTTTCCTTTTATCGTTTATTTTTTTATTTCCCGATGAATTTGTAATATAATCGGGTTTATCTTGCCTAACATATAATCTTCTGTTCCCGCACCATAAATTTTTAAAATTTTGTAAATTATAATTTTCTAATTTAAAATTTTATAAATTACAAATGATGCTAATGGTGATAAATCATTCCAAAGTCATAGGATGAATGAAAAAATTTCTGCAAATTTTTCTTTTTCAACAATAAATATTCTTTATCGAATTAGCTCAAATATTTTAAGCAATAGCAATTCAACAATAAAACGATGAAAATATTTTGCAAAATTTTTAAAATTGTAAGATTTAAAGTTAAAAAAACAGTCCCGTTTAAATTAATGAAATCAAAACAATGTTCATCGTTAAGTCTGGATGATGCTAGGAGTCTATCTGTACTTTTGTCTTTATCTAGTGATTTCCTGATTAAGAAATCAGATCAGAAATAGTGAGTTTCGTTGACGTTCAGTAGCAAGTACGAGAAATTGTCAGAGTTCTCTTTGGATATTTCGAAAGAGCATTTAGCCTAATGCCAAATGGTCGACTAATTTTTGAAATCTTTTACTTTATATATACGACTTAATTACTTGATTTCTCCACTAAACTGAAGTCTCGTTCACTCTTTGTTTAGTTCTTTATATCATTCGAAGCAAATGCTTTATTATTTTTTAGTGTTTATTGATTAAAAATATTTCGAAATCTATAAGCTGATAACTCTTTGATAGCTCTTAATTAGTGGTTAACTAGGAGTGCTTCGTACGATCTGTGCTGTGTAGCTCAGCTGCTTGATTGTCCTTAAATGGCGACAGTTTTTTATCTCAAATGTTTGCAATGAAATTCTTTTCCATGAAAAATTTAAATTGAAAAAAGTTGATCAAAAATTAATTCACAAAATAGATTTAAATTCGCCAGTTCGGAAGCAAGAAAAAATTGTCATAATTTTTCTTTCCCCTAAGTGACACGCGTTAAGAGATAAATTATAAATCAAATGAACCAAATAAGGGACGATGAGTTCCTTAAAATTCCAAATGAAACCTGTAATGCCGAAGTTTTCAATGAATTGCTTAAATGACTCAAAACCTCTTTTTTTCCCATTTTATGAAGCCTATTTATATATTTCTCATACGCATACCATAAAGAGTGGTTCTGCCATTTTAAGAAATTTCAATGTTTGATTGATTTGGCGTATGGACAGTCTCGTCATCCGCCGTCATTTTTCATATTCCTTGCCTTATGTTAAGTCGCCATTTAAGGACAATCAAGGAGCTGAGCGTATTACATAGATCGTATGAAGCACTCCTTGTTGACCACTAATTAAGGCGTCAAAGAAGCGATCAACTTACTGAACATTTTACTGACATTTCAAATCATCTGATCGAAAATACCGGCCAATATTTCCTAGTTATCTAGCAGTATTCGAATGTTCTATGCAATGTTCTAGTCTTCCTTTCTTTTGATCCATTAAGAGGTATGCAAAAGTCCTTATGTGAATTATATTGTACGACCTTTTCGATCGATTTTGACTGTCATTGTTCAACACCTTTCAAAACCTTTTTTTAGCGATTTTCCTCCAGTGAAATCCACTTGATGAAACGGTTTTCTTGGCTTTTAGTCGTTGAAAATTCGTTAGAAAAGTAAAATGAAGTCAGACGGATATTTTTCATTGAAATTTCAGCTTAAAATCTAATCTTCTCAAGACAAATAAATAATGGTTAGCGCTCACCATTTCTGGCTTGGGTTCGCTTCACTGGCTGGAACTTCGAGTTATCTGTGGATAGAGAAGAATCTTTAATATCATCTTTAATATTTTTTCAATGATTGGCTCACTCTTGCCAGAAGCAAAGGCCGAACCATGCCATGATGCTGGAAGTTATAATCTAATAGTGCTGCTCTCTTCAATGAATTTCAGTTTTTTGCTTCATTTATTTAGTATTTTTTTCTTCGTTTTTGTCATCGAAAGGCAAGTTCACCATCCAATTATCTTTGCAAAGAGAGTTATAAATTGATCCAATTATTAAATAGATGAGGGAAATCCTCATTTTTCCAACGATTCCTTCTTCCTTGTGGATTTGACTGAAGCGGGAGGAATTCTGGAGTGATTGGATTGACTATATTAATAATTCAACGATATAAGAGTTCGTTTAAAGTTACTGCATTGTTTCTAGGCGGTTGCAATTTACGACACTATGTAAATAAACAAATTGGTAAGAGTGTGAAGACGCGCCTGGTTCGATCATTTTCTTTCTCCTTTTAGCTGATGACTATTTTTACTTTCACTTCATTAATTTTCCATTCCATTTTTTTATTATTTTATGAAAAATCGAATGAAATACCTTAATAAATGCTTTAAGGACAAAGGTCATCGCTCCTGCTTACTCTAAGGGAGGCGATTTCCAACTTATTGATTTTTTTCCCTTAAATCGCGTCATCGGGTACCATTGTTTGAACTATTTGTGCCATATAACGAAGCAAGGATTTAAGGAAAGACTGCTATCCAATAAATTTAGTTTCAAAGTCTCATTTGAATGAAAATTCCCATATATGGACGTCTCTCTGAGCTTAATCTAGAGCACTTTTCTAAATAATTCCTGGAATCTTATTAGATATAAAATGGAATTATACAATTTTGATGCTGATAAAAGTAATAAATTTTATTTTTCATCGCAGTGCTTTTAAAAGATTAGCTGTTGTCGAATTTTATTTTTTCTTGCATTTCGCCTTCGACTCGTCTTCTTTCGTGTTTTCGAATGTTATACTAGTTGAAAATTTAAGGCATGGCCCCGAGGGATGATTCCTCCCTTTACAATATTCTTGAAGTGCCTCGAACCGCAGACGATGCCGCTATTAAAAAAGCGTTTGTTTCATTTTTATTTATATTTTTATTCATTAATAAATAAGTTCCATTTTAAAGGACCTATCACTGAGAAATCAGAATGGTCGAGAAATTTATTGCCAATTAAAGATAAATATGACTAAAGTAAAGTTAAGCCATCGATTAGTGTTTCTTGATAGAAACAAACCTGTCATAAAAGTGAAAAGCGGGTGTTCATTGAGCAGTCGGTGGTAATCAGCGAAACTAGAAATGGCTATAGGAAAAAAAATTATCGAAAAATCACTTGCAATTAAGTAAATGCTAACAAAACTGTTTTTTTTAGCGGTAATCTTTCTGTTTTAACAATTTATCAACTATTAACTGTTTCAGTTGAAAATTTTTTGAAAATTTTTGAGTTTTGAAGGACTTCTTTTTTGATTTTTTAATTATCCAATTGAAAAATACATTCTTGCTGCAAAGAGAAACTCCTTTTGTTCTTCATCTTCTGTTCATCCTTCTCTCTTTTCTATTCCTTTAGCCGTCGTAAACCTTTCATTTTTCATGTAAATAATCCTGTTTAGCTACTAAAAAATATAAATTTTTGAAGTTTTCTTAAAACCTATCGGATTTAATTTTTTTCATTGCAAATCCAAGAAGAGTGTAAAACTCTTTGTTTTGCTTTACAGTCTTCAGATTTGAAAAAATTTCTTAGATTTTCTCCTTCAGTTTTTAAATTTCATTGAATTATCGTGAATAATTTTATTATAAAATGGAAAAATAATTGTTCATTTTAAATAATTCTGAAGTATATGAATAAGGTGAATTTAGAAGTAATAAATAACTTTTTTTGAGAAATTGCTATTTGTATTGTTATGAACGAGGAGATTCCGCTTTTTTTACGCGAAGGGTTGATAACAAGAAATAAACCTTTTTTTTCTGAGTGGTATTTTAAATATTATTATGTAATATTGTAATATAGGAATATAAAAACAGTAATATAGAAAGGATAGGATAGGCGAGATGGCCCAGATTATCGTGCTGAGGGATAAGAGTTTGGCCGTCTGTCCTCGGCAGCCTCATTAAAAAAGCGGAACTTCCTGGCGATCTATGTCTGTTGCAAATGTCTTTTTTTTGATTGTTAGTTTTCTTATCAAAAATATTAAAAAATTATTGCTTTTTTTCTCAATTTATGAAATATTTATGTTTTTATTAAGATTTTTACAAGAATATATTATTTTTTATTTATTATTATTTTTGTGAAATTTGACTAAAAATGATGGGGTTTTGTCATGTAGAGATTACAAATAGATTCTTTTCTTCTGTTACTCACCATTTCTTTAGCTGGCTACACTAATTATTTGGTTGGTACTCCCTAGGTGAACTTGAAATAACTCCCACTAGCACCCAGGTTTAATGGCTGGCTACCCTGTTGAGAGATAGATGAAAATTGGCAAAAGCCAAAAATGTTTTGACTTTGTCAAAGCAAAATGCGACTCCATTCTGATCATAAAAAATAAATAAATATTGTTAGATATGAAATTTCGCAAAGCTTCATGAACACATTATTGATTTAGTGAAATATTTCTGCAATTCTTTCCATTCCTTCAAAGATTTCTCCATTTTTTTCATCCATTTGACATTTCGTTCTAAAAAAACGAGATTCAATTTGGATCTTTAACAATTGTCAATCAATGTTTTCGTATAAGGTGAGCCACTTTTCAGATATCGTAAATTAGCACTTCGTTGGCATCCGGACAAAAACCCGAATAACAAGGAAGATGCTGAGAAGAAGTTTAAGCGAATTGCTCAAGCTTATGAAATCTTATCTGATCGTATAAATTAACTCATTAATTAACATTTTGTTTCCTCTAATTTGAATCCCAATTTGATCCATGAAATCAAAATATAATTACGAAATAAATCTATAATGGTATGAATATTTATAGCTAAAAAACGAAGTTCATATGATCGATCGGGTATGGATTTGAAGACGAATCGGTCACGACGGCAGTCATATGGTGGCTTTCATCACGAATTCCGCTCTCCATTCGACGTTTTTAGAGATTTTTTCGGAAGCCGATATCCTTTTGCTGTAAGATTTTGATTTTTTAATATATCTAACTATACAGAATTATCATTTTTTACTATTTTTCCTTACCATTCTACCCTTCTTCATTCATTGATTTTAAATTTTAACGTAACAAAAAGATGCAACAAAATTAGGAATTTCCCAGTGTCCATCCAGTTTGGCCTCTAATTTTAACCTATTTTTTTCTTAAAATTGCAGTTCATGAAATTTTCCGGCGATTTTTGTGGGAAAAATGCTTTCTGAAGAATAAGTTTGTTTGAATTTAAAAAGTACTATTGAAAAATTTTTTCGTTTTTAAAACCTTTTAAAATCGAATTATTAGCAAATTAAATTCGAGAGCTGTTATTGAGGAAAACCTACCGATATTGTAAAAAAACTATTTCACTCACTCAAAGTTTACTTTTTATTTACTTTGTGGAAAATTATTTACTTGAAAGCAGGTCCTTCTAACAAACATAACAAACATAAGAAAACGGGTTTCTTTATTTTTTCGCAAATTTATTGCCTTATAGTTGTACAATTGATTATTTTCTTATTTGTTTCACTTCCAGTTATCCACTATTATCTTTTCTGCCAAAGCACAAAAAGCAAGTAGATTAACTGGCAAATGAAAACTTAGGATTTTTTAGAGTAAAAATTGCAAGAAAAGATTTTAATTTCTTAGATAGGAATATCGATGGGTCTGCAGCACCATCCGGTTTTCACTTTTAATGATACGTTTGTTCTGTGAATGTGGTGGCTTAAGCTTGACTATAAAACAATATACCGCTAATCTATCCGTTTCTGTAAATTTCCGTAAAATGTCGAATAGAATTCGCAAGATTATACACCAAAGAACGTTTATCATTCTCGTCTTGATTCTGATTTTGATAAATCAGTATTTATATTTGCAACATTTTAATTTTTTAAACGTTAGAGCATTTCTTATGGAGATGAAATGCTTATAAGAAAAATAAATTCATTGGTGGTAAATGACCCAAATCTTTATAAAATTGTAAATCAAATAAGAAATTTAAGACAGTACAAAATACAAATTTTTTGTGAAATACTGTAAATGTTTTGATTTTAGGATTTTATGTCGGATGATCCATTCCAAAAATGCGATTTTGATGATCGTTTCGGATTTCACCGACCGAGTAATCGAATTTCTTTAGTTTTCAATAAAAAATTTTTTGGTTGATGTATTGGAAAATTCTTCATATTTCATCACACTGGCTATTTCTTTCTTTTCATATTGATATTATTTAATATTATTTGTCACAACAACTGCTGGAAACAAATTGCATGTCACAAATTGAATTGAAGACGGTAATGGCTTGGCTAAATTCCTTAAAACTTGATTTTGAGACTGGTTCCACTAGTTTTTAGAATGAAGCACATGAATTAACTATTTCGAAAGAAATTCGAGATCGCGACAAAATGAACTTTCATTTGCTCTGTTGCATTATTGCTTACCTTGTGATCTCTTTCTTCAAAAACCGCATTCCCCATTTCTAATATGGCTAATTCTATTAGCGGACATATTCATTTGCTGTGAGAGTCACTTGAGGATAGAAATGTAATTGAAGCGACAACACTGCCGTGATTCATTTTAATTTTTTGTCTTTCTTCTACCAACAGCGAAAGGATGTGCAGGAAGGCAGGAATCTGTGTCGACTTGCTGTAGTCTCTGTTTTTATTCCTACATCATTTTATTTCCATTCTCCTAGCGAAACCTGAATGTCTGCATAATTAGATTGTCTTTCAGCCTACTATAAATCACAAATAACATAAAATGATTGCGTTTTTTCAAAAAACTTTCTGAAAGAAACGATTGGTAATCAACAAACTTTAATATTTTTTTCATTCACTTTCATTTTGTAATGCCATCAAAAACACTTGAAAAATAGGCTTTTTGTTTTGCAGAAGAATGTCGTTCAGCAGGTATCAATCGTTCGCGATTTTCATTTGATCACAGCGATGAAGAAAATGATTGGTGACTTAATTTATTATTAAGTTTTAGATACATCGCAGTAGAAATATTTGATCAAATTAATTCATTATTGGTACTACATGCATAATATTTTTAGGATTTAGGATATGCATGAAAGATTTCTAATACTATCATATCAACCTAAGGCTAAGTGCATATTTCTAGCCGTCTTTCCAGAAGTGGCTAAGACTAATAAACTTGTTGAGAGATGAGACTTTTGCCCTTTGCAGAAATAAAGCTGTCATTAAAAATCTAAGTGCTGACGGCGGCCGATCTGAATTTCTATCGCTAACTCTTTGGCAAAAATTTATAAGTGCACAAACAGCTAACGAAGCTAACTAGAAATGTCTATTTTTACTTTCTTCACTTTACTTATAAAAGATAAAAAATATTTTAGCTCATTCTCAACTGTAATTCGATTTTCAACAGGTGGACCTGGCAAAAATGCTTTAACCCGTAAAACCTCCATAAGTACGAAAATTGTTGATGGTGTTAAAGTTGTTACTAAAAAGTAATCTATTACAATTATTCGAAATTTTTTTGTTTATGATTAACAGTGAAATTATAATAATTCGTTTGTCGACTCTTTTCAATTTGTAGCTTAAAACATTTTTATTGAAAGATGCTTCACCTTTACTTCGCAGAACATATAAATGAAATTAATGTTGCATGCTAGTCCACCTTTTTGAATTTTAAACGATGAAATATTAGAAAGGAAATTTTCTAGTTTTATAAATTTAATAATGCATGAAAATTATAATTGGTAGGAGAAAATGAAGAAATTTAACAAACGTTGAAATAATTTAAAATTCCACTGCTGGAATAAAAATTAAATTTTACAGAACGGAGGATAATGGTAAAGAAACCATTGAAGTCTCAGAAAATGGGGTCCTAAAATCACGCATAATCAATGGAAATACAGTGGAAACTGCTGCATAATACCAATAATTAAAAATAATTGCTGCAAATTATTTGTGCCATTTTTTTTCATTTTTAGCGAAATGTTTGAACAAAGCAAAAAAACCACTCATATTGAGTCGGAACGATTCGAGGATTTGCGACTTAGCGAAATGCAAGTAGGAATTTTGGAAAAAAAGCTGCAACAACTACTTGAGATCGCATGCATCGATTCTGGCTTAGTTTAGCAGCGGTTTATCTTACATTGAAGATTTCAGTACTATTAAATCAATTAAATTAAATTAAGTATCATTCACCGACTTAGCCTAGCTTAGTAACGTTTATCGTGCATTAGAGAGGATTATGAATAGAGGGTTTTCGATATAACATTAGGTTTATACTGAAGTGCCGTAGAAGTTAACATCAGTAATATCAAGTCTTTCCTTCTTCATCTACTCTTAATTTCATCTTTTCGCTTGTATTACTTATCTATTTTAATGTTACGCTCAAATAATTAGATTTTTATAGCCAATAGATTTCACTGCCGCAAGGATTTATTAAATTTTTCATGTTTATTTCCTATTTTCTATTTTGGTTCCATCATTTAGCACTGCCTAATATCGCTCTCTGTTTATCAATTGCTTTATGGTCGCAATTTTTTCGTTTCCTTTACAAGAAGCAAGCCCCATATCTATCAAATGCGAAAACGGTCTAGGGGTTCCTGGTTCTCGTCAATTTTTCTTCTTTTTAGCTCATAAGAAAGTGGTGAATCTAATGAACTCCTTTCTGATAAAATCGATGAGCTTCTAGTCTCAAAATCCATCAAAACCGCCGTCAAAAAGCTCAAAAACTTGACTTTATTGCTCGGTTATGTTCGAGTTCATGCTGACTTCTTTAACCAATTTCCTTTTAGTTTTAATTAATTCATTATTTGATCAGCTTATTTGAGATTATTAAAATTACTCGACCTTTAGGAGAATAAAGAATAATACTTCTTATCAAATTGAATGGTATTTATGATATCTTTTCATTTTAAACTGGTTTATCAGCTTTTTTATGATTTTTGATTTTTAGCCTCAATAGTTAGCTCATTTTTCATTTATTACGTTAACTCATTGGATTAATCACATCCACCACGTTCTATATCTATCATGAACTATACAAATTGTATATAATTATATAAATTCATCATGAACTTGGATTTTTCAAATATATGAATTTAAATAAACAAATTTTTAAATAAATTGTATTTTTGATTTATCTCATCTATATTCAAAATAGGCTATTTTTATAGTTTGTTTTGTTATGAAATGATTTTGTTATATTTGTATATCATTACTTATTCGGTTTCTGTAATAATAATAATAATAATTTGTATTATTTTGTATACTGCCGAACACTGCCGAAATTTATAGCTAATTTGTGATTCTTTATTTTTACTGAATGTTTTTAGAAGAATTTTATCTGTTATTTTTAAATTTTTCAGATTTTTTTTGCATTTAGAATATTTGTTTTCTTAAGAAACGACGGTCTTCTTGAGAATAAAAATTGCAAGAGAAGGAAAAGAAGGAAATTATCATATCCACATCGAAGAAAAATTTGAAATATCATGTTAGACACATTTCTCCAAATATTTCAAAATTTGTTTTTAAGTTTTATCCATTTTTTAAACCCATTTCTTATTATTTCTCAAGAGACTGCTACAAATCGGGCATTGCCTACTTACATTATTCATAATCCTTGCACTCATTATTTTGTTGTGTAGTCGACTGTTCATATTTCTCAGTGCCTGCGCCTTAAGAACAATTTTTATATTTTCTAGGCGTTAGGAATGGCTTAAAGTTGTCCATATTGGATTTATGGATTTTTTTCAACGTACTACTTTTATCAGAATGAATGAATGATACTAAGAACTATAAGTCTCAAGGCATAACATATTAAATTGCTGATATATTATTTTGGACCAATTTTGGTCAAATTTGAATATTTTGCGATCGTTCTTTGTTCATTAAATTGGATAGTTATTTGACAAGTCAACACCATTGTCTTCGCCTATAATCAGCTGGTTTAACGATAAATGCTTCGTTCCAGTCAGCAGTGATTGAGCCAATATAACCTCGATTTCGAAAGGAAACAAGAATCGGCGCTTTCTTTACCATCTGAGCAGGAGATTCTTCGTTCAATAATGAGCATCTAAGGTTCCATATCTACAATACAATTTGTGATCGTTTGAAAGTAAAGATTACATGAAGCCTTAATCTTCCCCTTCTTACGATGCTTTAATTTTTATTTGCAATGATGGCAACGGAAAAATTAGAGTTCGTACATCAAGACATGATATTCCCACATCCATCCATTTGTTCAAGAATACTTAAATTCTTCAAAAACCATCTTTCTCGAGTCATTTTGTAATCAGCCATGTTAAAGAAAAATTGGTCATACCTGTCCTCTCATCACTTTTAGCTGATTGTGAATGAGCAAACTGTTAGCGGTTGGATCGTATTTGAAAAGAGTTCTGAGATCAGCGCATAGATCTCGCACAAATTTTGTTGTAAGCAAGCCCAATAAAAATTCCTTTAATGTATCGTCCCATGGCTGTGATATACAATTTTTTTAAGTTCAAGGTTTAAAAAAAGGTTTTAACAAAGTTTCTTAAATGATAAGCAAGCAACAAAATAGCGTTTTTAAATAATAAAACTTGAAAAATATTGTTTAATAGTACAATTAGTGCCCATGAAAGATTCGCCCATTCAAATGGGAATGGCCTTAGGCGACTTGCGGTTTCTGGATGTTTTACTGGAAATGCTAATCCATTATCGATTGCAGCAATATCTATTTCTTCATTCTGTTTATATCTGCAAATAAATAAGTGGCGGGCAGCACTATAACAAAAAATAATTTTATAATTTTTTTATCACGTGCTTTCCGAAAGATATTTATAAAAATTATGAAAAATATCTATTTACATTATTTATATCTATATGTTTTTGTAATATTTCTTTGTATTTTATGGATGCAATTTTTGATAAAAGTGCACCGCCGAACAAATTATTCCAGATTAGAGGTTAAAGGTCGTAAAATTGGTTTTATTTAAGGAAAACTCACTTAATTAGCCAGTTATCCATATGTCGGTCAGTATTCCTTATAACATAATCAAGAACACACATTTTCTGGAATAATATATGAAATTTTTGCGATTCCTTCTCAGTTAACGGCGATTTATGCGACCATTTTGCTAGAACAATATTTGCACTCTCAAAGCCATCAACGAATAACTGAAACGAACTATTTTTTGATTTTCTATTTATTCTCAGACGTTGCTGAAAATATGATTTCATTAATTGTACACGGAATATGATAATGCACTCAACTATGTTTCCATTCTCTCCAGAGATTCGTCCTAATAGTCAGTGAAGTGAGCCTAACGAGCATTTAGAATGCTACGGAAAAAAACAACCACAAAATCTATAGTAAACAAGAAATAACCAAAAATTTTTGCAAATTTTCCCATTTAACAACATCGATTAAACGAATATAATTTTATGGATGTGAACTGATGTTGACGAGTTCTAATTATGTGACAATTTAAAGATACCTGATAGCTTCCATTTTTCAGCTTGAATTCACCCTGTTTTCGATAAAAGAATGATGGAGAAGCGAGTTGAACGAGATATGTGTTAGGCACTATCTTCAACTGAAAAATTTATTATGTAAAAATTAGATTACTTGTTAGTTCAACAGAAACAGTTGTATATATTTGCATCTTTAGCCGCAGTCGTTCTAAATCCAGGACTTCAGCCAATCGGATTTCATTTTCAATCTTGAATTCATCCTCTTAAGAGGGGCAATCGATTCTATGATGCTTGGTCTTTATCGAAGCAACATACAGTCTTATCCTAACTTGGCCCAATTTTGTAAGAAATTGTTAAAATGGTATGGAAATTGATCTATCCTTCATTATAATGAATTATAGCATGTAATAAGTCATTAAAAACAAGCGAGTTGGCTTACGAAACGTAACATTTTGATATAATAAATGCCATCGTAATACTGTTTGACCATTAAAAGATTATTTTGAAATTTTTAATCAGATTTAATAAATGAATCATTTAAAGAAGAATCAGCAAAAATCGGTTAAATAAACCATTAAACAAAATTTTGTATTTTAGGCCTTCCATTATGCCGAATAACCAGTACTTTCACAACCAGATGTTAAATATTAATTTGTTCTTGAAATAATTTGAATATGGAGGAGAGCTTTTCAAAAAAACTTGCCTGAAAACGTTTGTCAACAAGCGATGCACCAACTTCAGACATATAACCCATATTAGGGATGAGACAAGCTCGACCAAAACAACAAAAGCTTAGGATTCGTTGAAAATATTTCGGCCATTTAGGATTTAATGATGCAAAAGGTTCTTCATCCTTTGGTTTAAATATCGCGATATACTTCTTGCTAGCATCGCGGACAAAATATGAACCTAAAAAAATTTAATGCCAAATGGCATTGAATTTATGGATTACAGATGGGCATTCAATATTCTATTAAAAAATATTCATCAATATAATTTTTATATTTTATTTTTAAAAATTAATAAAACTAAATAAATTAATTAGTGGTCAGCACTCACACTCACTATTTCTGATGAGCTAAATTAGAATTAGACAATATCACTTGAGAATAAGAATGCAAATGGATCTTCAAGGTTCACTCCTGCAAAATACAGGGAATGAACCATGATGTTTGAAATGCTAATCTAAGCAATATCAGACTTGCTGAAATGTTTCATGCAAAAAGTTGTTTTATTACCAAAATGCTATTATTAACTGCTGAAACGTACCTGAAGTACCACATGGCGTTCTCACCGGATGAACACCGAGTTTCATTGCTTCTACACATTTCTTAATATTATCATCAAAGACCTTATCAACTAAATTGTCGTTGTGCAATTTTTCTCTTATCGCTATATTGTTATTTTGATGATAAGCAATGCTGGCTTGTGGCTAAAAATTCAGCAAAACATTGGCTATATGTAATTAATTATATATGGGTAGAATAGATATAACTATGGAAGAATTATAGATTTTCGCAGAAATCGATTGAAGCTGGAATAAATGATAAATGACATTTTGAAAGAAAAAACTGGATCAGTATCTACACGACAGGACTTATATGAATTATAAAGAGAACTGTAATTTAAGACGTGTTTTTCTTTGGCACAAAGAATTTTTTTTGATTAAAGGGACAAAAGGATAATAGATATGAATTATGAATTATAGAGATGTAATATAATAATAAGAATAATAACAATAATAATAACAATAATAAATAACAAATAATAATAATAAAAGTCCGAGGACTAAACATAGAATTTACTCGCGAATCGAGATAAGTATTCAAAATCCGTCAAGGAAGGTGAGAACCTATTCGTAACACCTTTCAAGCGCGGTGAGATGCTGGCCATAGCTGGTTCTGGTTCTGAGCAAAAATACTGACTATATCTATTGGTGTCGCGGATAACTCGGTGAAATGGTGTGCGATTGTCATGTCTGAAAAAGCTCGATCCGCTCTGACTGAATGGAAGCCAGTAAATGACCGTATGGCCTACGCGTGTTTCAAGGGAAGTTCTGCAATATTTCAGTCGTCAGTGTATAACTCCAACTTTATGCGCTGATGACAGCGATAAGGAAAAATTCTATGCGGAACTTCAACAATTCTATGCGGAACTTCAATATTAACAATATCCCTACCGAGAAGTGACATGTTCATGATCGGGGGAGACTGGAATGCGCGCGAATGCGAGCGTCATGATGTCGCTACAATGAACTCAACTCAACTCAAACTCAATAATTGGCAAATATGGCATCGGAGTCCAATGCGCCAATGGAGAATGCCTTCTTTTGCCAAAGAGCATGAACTGTTTATTACTAATACATGCTTTCTGCATCAGAATATATCTAGGATATATTTAGTATCTAGGATATATCTAGTCACGTGGAACTTTCCAGACAACCAATTGGAAATCTCCGGAAAAATTTTCGCTTCCACTCTGCTACATAAATTTATGGCAACACGAAATAGCAAAATGCGCCCTAACAAAGATGGATTCAGACCGGGACAAGGTTGACCATATATTACGCTAAGAAGGGTGCTAAAATATCGCTTCAAATACCAGCAACCCACCGTCATTTGCTTTATCGATTGTGTAGCTGCATTCCATTCGCTGGATAGAGCAGCGTTCTGGAAAATGATAAAATGTGACGGCGATCCAGAGAAGATTATTCGGCTCATAAAGGCATTTTATCAGCATACCCTGGCGCAAGTCTGTATGTATGGAGAAGTGACAGACTCCTTTGAAATAAAAACTGGTGTGAGTCAGGGCTGCGTTCTTTCCCCCAAAATGTTCAACTATGCGATAGACTGGATAATGGGCACCGCTTTTCAGCACTCAAGAGGTGTGCGAATTACTCTACAGCACAGCATCAGATCTTGAATACACTGATGATGTTATTCTTTTTGCTGACGGTGATGAGGAAATGCAAATAATGTTAAAAAAATATGTCAACAAATGCAGCGAGAATTGGACTCAAAATCAATGTAAATAAAACGAAAGTGTTTTCGGCTTATATGCAAGATGCTGATAAAATACCTATTTTTATCAATTCATTGCAGCTTGAGGAAGTGCTTGATTTTAAATACCTTGGATCCACTCTAATCCCAAATGGCCAGGCAAAGCATGAAACTGCAACCAGGATAACGACAGCTAGAAATATATTTTTCCAGTTGGAACCGTCGCGAAATCACCATAAAGACGAAAATCCGCATCCACATAGATGTAATTCGCTCGGTTTTGCTATATGGCTGCGAAACATGGCCAATGAGAGTGGAAGATATTAAGAAGCTATTAACCTTTGATTACCCTTAACCTTTGACTTACATCTAAGGCACATTTTTATGGATTCGTCGAGCGGATAAAATTGCATATAATTGTATCCATCTTCGCTCAAATACCACCTATATTAATAATGTTATCACAGAACGTCGCTTTCGCTGGTCACGTTTTCCATCCACCACAGGACTTGACGCATATTTCGTTCATCGTTCTTGGTTGGCGTCAAAAGTGAGGAGGGCCAGTCAAGATCTGGACTGATTCAATCAGGAAAGATTTTAAACATATAGGGAGACCAGCGATATATGGACTTAGAATTGGGAGCGCCGATGCTGAGATTCGGTTCCCCACAGAAGTAAACCTGTACAAAAATCCGGATGGTGCTGGCGACTCACCTGTGTTTCTATTGCCAAGGGACTCCCTGGCTTATTGTCTAATGCGACAAGCCAGTGGAGCGAGTCTAACCAGTAATGGTGATGACTCTTTAAAAAAAAATTACTCATGATGGCAGTTGAATAGCTTGGAGACGTCTTACCCTTGTAGCCAGTGGAGCTAGCCTAACCAGCAATGATGAGAGCTGTTAGAAGAAGAAGAATGTTTTCAGCGAATGACTAATAGCAAAAGTTAGAAATTATATAATTATTGGAATAAGGGAACGGATCAACAGAAAAGATTTTTTTCATTAAAAGTAATATCGTTTTGATTATTTCTCTTCCAGAAGATTTCCGTATTTTATAAATAGTTTTCTGGAACAATTTTGAGATAAACAAATGGTTAATATTTAGGATTCCATTTCTTGACTCTTCTATATAATTCTTAACTTATTTTCAAAAAATTAACCATTCGATTGAAAATCGGTATAAAAAAGTTCCTTACCAAAATCATTATAGATGCTCGAATTGCACTTCTCACTTTATGGCGTGCCAACAGTATAATAGAATTACCGCTTTACTTTATCGTATCTAGGTCGATGTAACGGTCATTTAAAATATTTTATAATAATTGACCGACCGGTTAAAATTATGCAAGAAAAAATAATGCCAACTAGCCATAAAGTATGCAATAAAAAATTTTTATGGCTTGAAATTAGATGAACGTTGTAGAAAAAAAGAATAAGAAGTGACTGCAGCGGAATATGCTCACCTGCCACGCGTTAATATTTTAGAAAACACTTAATCCGAGCTGCTTTATCAGAGCAATAGTAGTAATGCTGATCTCCGCACGTATCTCAAACCTGGGTAATTAAATCTCAAACCTCCGTAACATACTAATAAGAAAAAACGATACTCGAAACGAAATAAAACCGAAGATTAAAAAAGACAAGTATGTCAAAAACAAATAACAAATGAAGAAATAAAACAAAAGGTCTGAAATAACAAAAAGCGTGAAATACTGAAAAATTAAAACCCAATCGCTTAGGTCTTTTGATAACTCTGCAGCAAAAAAGAGAAAAACAATTTTCTTGAAATACATTTTCTTGAGCGTATATAACTTGTGTAAATTCACCTTAATGGTTTATTCATATGTAAATGGAATAATCCAAAAATTAATTAAGTTAATGAAAAGTTCCTTTTGGCCGACCACTAGTTTGAAATAATAAATTTAGAAAAAACATCGCATTTCGCGACAAATGTAATTCATATCTTACTGATTATTCTTATCAGAGACATTCTACATACCTCCTCCTCCATCAACCTGTAAAAAATTTCAGAATTTTTATTCTTTTTCCTCCATCACCTCTCCTCCTCCCACTGTCAGCGATTCTTAATCAGAAAGAACTGAAATATGACGAAAAATTTTCGATTGCCATTTCCAAATTATTGCAAAATTTTAATTAAATATTTTTTAATTAATTAAATAACATAGTAATTTGTGAAAATAATAATTGATAAATTTTTTAAAGAAGTTTCTGAATTGAAGTTTCTGAATTTTTCTTGTGGAGATACAAAATTTCATTCCAATTGTTTTCATGAAAAATTAAGTAATTCTTCGCATAAATTAATTAAAGATTGGCTCATTGGTATGTTGCTTCGATTTAGATTGAGCCTTCAACTCTTTAACAACAAGACTTTGACAAGACTTTTATCAAAGGTGAAATCAAAGGTGGATGGTATTGTAGGTCATATATCCCCACCCTTAAGCGATTCTCTGGCGAAGTTCTTATCCTAATGATTAGTACAACCAATCAAACAAGAAATGGTAATGGTAACTTAGAAAAAGAATTCATTATTAGCCGTCCAGTTGATATTTATCAACAAAATTGCAAAAATAAATTTTCTAATATTTTGCATTCGTATTTTCGATTGTGATTTCAGAATTAAGTATTATTATTCAACTCAAATTAAGAAAAAAATAATTTTGGATTCAGTGGCTTTACACTCTTCTATTTTCAATAATTTTATGCGATTTATAAGTTATGCACAAATCGAACATACATAGCGAACAATAATTAAAAATTGAACTGAAACAGATCAACGAGAAATGGAAAAATGAGCATCAAAATCGAATTAAAAGATAACACGAAAATCCAACTAATATATTCCCGTATGATGAAAACCATTTGGTACTTGAATTTGCATCTGAATTATACATATAGATATGCATATTGAATTATTGTATTTTTTGAAAATATTCTGCAAAATATTCTGGAAAAAAAAATTTTTCTGTTTTCAATGGATTTAGCCATCCAGAGAATCATACTTTTAACCAGAGAATTTGTCCTATTCTTGACCCAAGACTTATTCTATTTTAGTGAAAATTTTCCAAAAAAAACATTCGATTCAGAATTATTAAAAAAAAGAGAAAGAGAAATTCACCTCTTCCTCTATAATATTCATCGCTTTCGTCACTTTTCGCATTGGGCTGCGGTTCCGGTTCTGGTTCTGGTTCAGGTCCAGGTTCGAGTTCAGGTTTGGGTACAGGTGAAAGATCTGTTGAGAAATGATCTATAGAGTCATGGGTTGATCTTGCGTTTAGTTCAAGTTCTGAAGTTGGGGTTGGTGAAATTGACGAAGACTTAGGTTCGAATTCCGAATTAATAATAAGTGGAGTCGGTTCAGGTTCAGCATTTAAGCCAAATGAAGAAATAGAATACTTAGGTGATGTCTCAGCTGTTGGTACTGAATATTCTATTACAGGTGTGAAATCTAGCGAGAAGTCTTCAACAGGTTTAATTTGACCTTCTTTCCACTGCTCGGCTGAATCAAACATGCAACTTGAGTTGAAATTATTCGACCATAACGAATGAACTTTATAAATGAAAAGCAAAGCCGAATCTCCGCATTGAGTTCGTACTCCCTGTGACGCACATTTTGTGATTCTTTGAAGGCTGGAAAATTTTTGAAATTAAATATGCCAATCCTGGAAAAAGAAATAATAATTCAGTGGTTGAGAAAAAAACTAAAATGTGAGAATCTTGTTTTTTGATTATTTTAGCTAGTTGATTGGTTATTCAGTATAAAGCAGGAAATTCTACAACAAATTATTCCAAATTCATACAAGAGGGACAAGATGGTCTGGTTAAATACCATAGGTTAGATTTCTAGTTCTTATGTTATTAAACAAAAATCGGCATAGTATTTTGGACTCATAGGTTCTTGTATCCACAAGATTTTCTAATGAACATACCTAATAACCGATGGAACTAGCCAAGCTAGGAATGGTTAGAAGAAGAAGAACCTTGTACATAGAATTTCAGGTGCAGTTTTAGCAAAGAAATCAATTGACATAAATGGTCCGATGCATTTTTGACCTTCGTAATTATTAGTATAGTCAACTAGACAAGCGAGATGTTCTTTAGCATTTTGTTGAAGTTCATCGCACAAAGACCGAAAGAAAGCGGTATTTGCACTCGTAACGGGCTCTAATTTGCAAGTCATATTAGCCAAACATTTTTCATATACCTTGGACGAAAGGCAAAATTCATCCCACAATGAAGCGTTGCTGAAAAAAAGATAAAAGATGTCCATTCAAGATAATTTTTAGAATCGAATTTAAGATCTGAACTCATTCAAGGCTTTGGAGAATGTGAAGTATTACTGGATTTTGAATTTTTAAATTAAGAAATTTATCCTTTCTTCATTATTTTATGATTTAAATCCTTTAAAAGAACCTAATAATTGATATGGGTCGTATGGAAAATCTATCGATGTTCGCCTCGCACTGCAAATATTCTAATAAATCGAATTCTGAACAGCCAGTATTTAGTGAAACCGATGGAATTAAGATCTCACAAGATTCGTTCACCTTAATTTTTGCCAATTAAACAAGTAAGTAGAAACTTCCTGGTATAATTCCAGCTTATTTGGCAAATTTTTTCAAATAAATCCCTAAACAGAGAGATCGGTTGCTAGGCCATCGAAAATATTTTTCCAAGTTTTTAATGGTATCTGGCACTCTTCTAAGAATTGGAATTGTCAGCATATTTTCATTATTCAACTAGACAAGCGAGGACCGACTCATGTTGCCAAGATTTCCAACAAAATCATGATTTATCGAAATAAGCGATGCGAAAGTGGAAGTTTTTGCTAAATATAATTAATTAATTTATTGATTATTTAAAATTCAAATATGTACGCATAACGTATAGATAATGTGTGTATCAAAAATAAAAATCAGAAATTTAAAATTTAAAATAAACCTGTTTTATATAGCTGTTCATAGCATCGAATGATAAAGTTAGAGCCTCATGACCGCATGCCTCACTTACTAATGGAGCTGAACAACTCGCCACAGCCAAAAGTGCACGACACCGGTCACCAAGTATAGACAGTGGTTTTGCGAGACAATTAGATCCCTGCAAAATTCATACTATTTGTTAGATTTTAAGGTTTTTGCACAAAATTTAGTATATAAAATAAAAATTTTAGGCTGAGGAAGAAAAGCCAAAACAAATTAAAATTATTGCGCGAAAATTATTAAAACTGGCTCAAATTATCTGTAATTCTTATAAATATTTGAAATCTAATATCTGAGACTCTAGATTAGAAGATAACTACAACTTTTTCAGAAGTGGCAATTGTTGCAAGACAAGTTGAATGCTTGTTAAATATGGCTTTTCGAGCACAAATCAGATCGGTAACTGCATGAAATGCTCGAGCTTCGAGATTTCCACAAACATCTATCGAACACGTGGCAATAATTTCGGCTCGGGAGCAGAGCTTTAATGAAGGTAAATCTTACAAAAATTTTTCTCATATAAAAAATCTGAAAATCAATCAAAATCCGTATGATAAAGTAATTCAATTGAAGAATGTAGTACTTTTATCTGATCTAATCTCTGATCTAACATGCTGCCAAAATCTAATTTTATTGGGAATAGCACTGAGAAAAGGCAAGGACAAAAAAATTTAAACATTATTAGAATATGAGATGATAAGAGATGCGAAATGGAAATTCGCGAGGAAAAATGTGCGACACATAGGAAGGACACATAGGTGTAAGAGCAGAGGGAAAAAGAGGAAAGGATTGAAAAACTTATATCTTATGTTTTCATCAGGTAAAAGAAAGTACCATAAGAAACTCATGCCCAAAGTTTCAAGAAAAGTGATAACTCTTAAGAATTCGAACATATAAATCTTAAAAACATACTTTATCAATATCAGAAGCATCGTTTAATATGGCAACGGGCAAATAACGATATTTTAAATAAAAATCGCCAACACAGGCTAAATGTTTAGATAGCATTTCTGTATTGCAAATATCACGAGGTGACGTTATAGTTGCCGATGGTAAAGTTACATCAATAGGACAAATGTCTGTAGAGCTAATTGCTCGAAGAACATTAAGAGGTGTCGGACCACATTTAGCGATGACAATATTCTCAATGCAGTTGACAAATTGCGGAAGGACAGTCCGTAATGCATCAAGATTGAACGTCTTTAAAGTTGCAATCGTTGTACGCAAACATTTGCCGAATTGAGTGTCTGAGGCCTTAAATAAGCTATGAAATTAGCTTACAATTACTCTGAAACTTTCTATTTAATAGGAAAAATAAAATCATAAATTTTATTAAAAATCTAAAAAAAAATAAAATTCATTCTAAATGGTCGTTTAATTTTCGAACAGCAATTACTATTTTTGGCCAATCTTTTAACTGAACTGGATATTGGCATGATGATATAAACTTTCCAAAAATGTATCCTGGAAGAGGAAGCGAGAAGGGGAAAGTTGTATTCCCAGCAACATATTCTCCTTCCCTCTCTCCCACAAGAGAGAGAACCGATGTCTGCTTGAATTTAGTCAAAATTCAAAACAACATATTACTCGATCATTCTATCACGAAATAATCAATTGATAAATGGAATCTATGCATCATATTGATTTAAAATAAAAGAAAGAACCTGTTGGAAAATACAACCAAGATTGTCATCGATAGCTTTTGCAGTATCATTTTGTTCACAAATTCCATCACCTGCTCGTATCAAACAACTTGAAACAACACACTGTGTAGGCAACGACTTTAGTGGATGTAAACATTCATGAAATTCCGCTGTCAGATTACAGCCTTGTGCGAAAACTGGAGCTAAGTTTTTGACATTGCTAAGGAAAGCTTTAAGTCCACCCTAAAAGAAAAAAATTTAGAAGTAGCAATATAAAAAATTTTAATCTGAAAGGAATTTGAATTTGAAAGGAAACATGAGAATGTAACCCGAATGGGAACATGAAATGGCGCAATACCAAATTTTTGAGTATAAGATGTTTATTCTTCTGCCAGTTCGCAGTTAGATTGGTTAGACTGACTCAATGAGCTACAAAGATGAGAAGTTTGCACTAAGCTCAGCCATTAAGGTATTATAATATGTTCAGTCACTACTGACAGAATTCGACTTCTAACCACAGAATGATCTCCTTGCGAAATCCTTTCTTACTTTACTTAGTGAAAATGCTACCCAACAGTTTTTTTGAATTACTCGAAATTTAGTAGATTTAATTCAATTTCCATAATTCATTTAATTTATTCAAAATTCAAATGCACGACCAAAATTCGTCGAACTGAAATCCCCTAAATTTGGTTCAATCAACTATAATTTAATTTAAATCGTTAAAAATTTCTATAATAACCTCGAATAATTCATCGATTCTTGACGAAAGTTCATTTAGTGGAGCCGCACAGTGTTGAATCAATTGATTCTCACTTGCTGTACAATTATGACCGGTTATTGTACCTCAAAATTCACAAATATTTTCGCAAACTATTTTGTAAATGATGAACAATTTTTTAAATGCATTTTAAAATCCTCGAAAGTTATTGCGAATCTTATTTTCAACGTTTTCACTAAAAATTCCGTCTTCCAATTATATTTCTTTTCGAATGTTCTGGATATTTACGTCACTGAAACAACTTTGAATAGGCAACTAATTGGTTAACCATTCATGGTTAGCCTAGCAGGTCAACTGTTAAAATTTTCACAGAGGAGTGACTTGGGAGTAGAACCGCTAACGCTCCTCAAAACTTTCAAAGGCAAATTTACAGAGCAGAAGCGAATTCTTGCTTCTCAATATGAAAATCTGAATCGCTATTTACTCGGTTTACTCGGCCATCCTATCCTATTATTTAATTAAAAATTATTTAATATTAACTTTTATGAATCTAATTTCTAAAAAAATATTTCAGGATGAGATTAATTTACAATATTTTTTTATTTTGATAAAGTTAAACAAATTAAAAAAAACAACGTCGGTTTCGTTTCGTCAAAGCTTAAATATGGTACGTTTTATCGATAAAATATTTGCGGAAACTACAGCAGAAACTACCAGACTTTAAATAATTGTACTATAACAAGAAAATCGAATATTAATAGGGTTGTTGACCCCGATTTTTGTAATCTTTCGTGCATTCCTCTTCATAAAACATTACTAAATTACTCATTATTAGCAAATATAATGTTATCATTTAATGTATTATTAATGCCTTTACCTATGCCTTTTATCAAAAACAATAAACAAAAAAAATATGCGACAAAAAATTATGGTTGTTAGAATAGAAATATAAAAATTATTTAGAAATAAATGCTGTTAAAGTTCGTTTGTTCTATATTTGAAAATTTAGAAATTCAAAATTTTCACCCACTTTTTTGAATCACCTACTATTACAATCTTTTTCATTTACTAAAGTCATCCTGGATTCAAAACTTTTCGTCAATCACTTGCGGAGAAATACAAGTGGGAGTGAGTATCACTGGAACTTCGCTTTCGGTGGCAGATTTACTGGTTAAAGAAAAAAGGGCTTATAATGGCTTGACATCAGTATGAGCAAAATGCCACTCGATTGCCCTGACCTAATAAACTGATCTTATTGTATAAGACAATGAACCTTAAATAGTTTAAATATTATAAGTGTATTGCTCGTATATTGATGAAATACCTATGATTTGAAAAAAGTTTCGGGCTTTAGGAAATGTCGCATCGCTAAATTCTAAAGCAAGTGCTAAAATTCAACGAAATCAAATAAAAAACTTGCCTGAAGTTCCAATTATACAATCTGGATCAATAGCTGTCGCAAACATCTCGATATATTCCTTTATAAATTGTTCGCTCTTAACACCGCATTTATCTTTAATCGCTGGCGCTGTACAAAAGAAAAGATTATTTGAACTTTGACATGCTACTTGTGGTGCACTTTTAGAGAAAATTCCAACGCATTCACGGACGTCATCTCTTGTTGTCATCTTTCTAATACATTGTTTAACCTGTAAGGGACAAATAAAGTAAATATAAATCGCCTTGAAAATCATAAATTTAATTGTTCATTCATAAATTTCATAATAATTCATAGATCTTTTTTTCACATTAGATTGTCGATTATTTTTGATAAGAATTAACATTGTTCTTCAGCAAAAAATAAGTTTATGGATATTTTACTGCAAATGAAGCCGGCTTATCATGATAAGCGGACGATACATTTCTAATTTTGTAGATTATCATCTATTGGTATCACCCATCTATTGGTGATGCCCCGTATGACACTAAGCGCGCTCAGGATTGCAATATTATATCGGAGCGCCAGATCTACTAAAGCCGGCAAAATATAGCATTTCTATTAAAGTATCAAAATTATTTAACAATTACTTTTCCATCATAATATATTAAAAGATACTTCATTGTATAAAGAATAACCAGATCCACAGGCATATTGGAACATTGCAGTCATTCCTTTAGCCCATAATGGTATGCATTTAATATCAGCCCGGCATTCATTGAATTTTTTGAATTCTTGACAAGCGTTATCAATTTGTTTAGGTTGACGAATGACTGATAATGGATGAGGTTGGAACGAAGTGAGTGGTTGAACGCAATCACTAAATCTTTTCTGTTCTGTTGGATCGCAGCCGTGTGATAATACATTGACTTGCGGACTTTTAGAAGGTAAAGGATGTGCAACTGGAACAACTGGTTTTGCTATAACTTCATCCAGATCATCCGGAATTTCTGATGGACATCCTTCCATTGTTCCAACTATTTCCAACTCAAAAGCAACAAAAATTTGATGTTGGAAAATTAAATAAATAAATTTTTTTTCTCTGGAATCGAAGCTAAACTACAGAAAAATTTTCACCTTCATCAGCTCTCATTTTCTAATCATTTTTGATTTGGCTGGCATAAACAGCTACTGGAGTGAGCCAGAAAGTTTCATGACGATGGAGGCACAGACACCTGCACTCTCCAATTAATTCGAGATAGTTAAAAGTGAACTCTAGTAAATGAATATATCAATTTTTTCCATAAAAATTTTAAAATTTTTATGGAAAAAAAAAGAGTTTCATAGATGAAAGATGAAAAACCTGTTGCCTTAGATAAATTAGATCTTGTGCTGATTCATGAGAGCAATATTGTATAACAAGCTTTTCACCGCATTCGAATGTATTTCTAATATTATAAAAAGTTTTACACAGAATCGCTTCTCCATGAATTCCCTATAATATGTTGTTTAAGTCATGTGAGAATATTATTTATATAATATTTATGACATAAATTTCAAAATTTATTCCACTACGTTCTGAAATAATATTTTAGCAAATATTTTTTATAAAATATTTATAATTTGCAAAAACATTAAAAGATTAAGTAAAAGATCCGAATATAAAATATTAATTTTTTGTCAATTTATCCAGTAATTTTTCTGAATTACCTGCAACATAAGTGTAACGTGTCTTGAAAGATCGCTAAGAGCCGATTGGCACTGACTGGTTTTATTTTGCACCTTCAGTATGCATTCACGATTTTTTTGCAGCACATTTCGAGAATCAAATTCACAAATTGGTGATAATCCGATCCTAAAACAAAGAATCGTTTGCAATAAGTTCTAAAACAATTGCGCATAAATTCACGATTCATTTTTAATGAAAGGTTTACTTTCATCGAGAGGTACGAAGCACATTGATGATACTCATGACCACTGCCGTTAGGCATTTCGAAAATAAATGGTATGAAATATATCATTATCGGCTCATGGCAAATTCAGTTAAATATCTTATTCTGGCTAGATCACAACCAAATTAATTTGACAAATGTATATACACATATAATTAATAATTGTTGATAAGCATTCAAAGCATTTATAGGATTATGAAAAATTTACCTTGCAAGAGTGTTCAGCGGCGAATTAAACGAACAGCGAACTCCACTAGAAAGCGAGAAAACGCTATCATTGATACATTTCGAATATTTATTATATAACTGGCAAACATGATTGATAAGGCTTGAATTAATATCGCTAATTTCCAGCAAAAAATTAAATGTTTGTAATTCTCCAATGCGTTTATTTAATTCGACAAGCTCAACCAAACATACCAATGCTCCATTTTCCTAGAATTACAACAATTAATTCACACATCTAATAAAATAAATCAAGATTTACGCAAATTTCCTAGTAAATAGAGTGGAAAAAAATGAAGAGAAGCAAACGACTGCAATATTTTGAGGCAATTATGGCATATACTAAGGTTCTTAAACAAAGAATAAAAAAATTTTCTTCCCATTTTTATTTCCTTCCTCAGTAAATTCTTCCATACCCATTATATGTGGTTAAATAGGCCATTGTGTATAACCAACTGCTAGGCAATATGCTACAGTGTATTTGCATGACCTATAACCCTATTATAAGAATAATAAGCGGAAAATATAATGGTTTGAAGTCGGACAGCATTCAATTCAATAATATTCATTAAATGCACGAAATTTTGAATGGAGTAAGGGAACTCACCTGTTCCGCAGAACATTTAGTGTATGAAGGATTCAAGGCGAATCCATCGTTATTTTGTGCTGGAACGATATCTTTTTTCTCTTGGTAACACTTTTGTGCAGTTGCCTCATCGCTTAGTGCATTCTGTAATGCAACCACTGCATTTTGTGCATCAATTTCACACATATCATTTAACGTAATAATTGCACAATCGATATTCGAAATAAATTGTTCCAATGCTGCGCAAATTCCATTTGGAAACTGCAAAGCAAAATTCGATTATGCTTTTTTTTTTTAACAATTTACATTTTATTGTTGAAGAGATTCAAATCCATTCACTTCGGCTAAGATCAAGCATCATGGGTTCGATTCTTTTTGCTTGCCAGGATCAAACCCGTTAGTGGCAAGACTTAGATTTAATCAAGAGAAAAATGGAGATCCATAATGCTAGAACTAGGTAGCAGGTGCTAATCGCTCGATTTTCAAATAAAGTCACTAGAAACTTTAGTTAATCTGTGTTAAATATTAAATGCTATCTATTTCATATGGAAACATCACGACTGGATTGCAGTGCGCCACTGTGTATCAATCTTATGATTTGAAAAAGTGGGGTTACGATGCCTGTTCGAAATAACGCCAAAATAGTGGAAACCTTTTCTTCACATTTAGACTGTTTGAAAGCTGCCACATAGCATTTTGTGTACGGCATAAGTTTCTCTTTATTGACACAAACAATTCGTTGAACAGAGGTCCAAATACCCAGTGATGATTTATGGCAGAAAAGCTCAATATTCAACAGAACTTGTAAAACATTGAAGCATTCCGGACAAGGATTAGTAACCTTGGGTAAAATATGAGAGGAAGAGGGCGAATCTAAAAACAAAAACTATTAACAGAAATTCTATTCCGAAATTGCACCGGAACCAGCAGTAAGTGCATCATATAAAATCTATTATGAGGAAAATTATGCAGTTGGTAGTATCTATCATAGACTTTTTCCTAAATTGAAAATTTTTTAATTCAATAATTCAGTGTATCAATAAAAATGTTAATAATGCTTACACGAATCACATTTCAACTGTGAATAAACATGTGATGTTTCTGATTGCATTGGTGATAAAACCTCGAGTGCATTTTCATCACATACACCATTCGAGAAGTGCTGTACACAGTCTAGATCAGATGAAATCGAAGAGATTATTCGACATATCGTAGGTCGAAAACCATCTATGCTAAAATCATCAAAAACAAAAAAATGGAATACTTGTATTATGCAGCACTCATAAAAATTTTGACCCATACTGAGCATAAACCTTGTAAATCCTCAAAAATTCCAGGAATATAAATTGCCTTTTCTCTTTTCTTGACTTCACCCGTCTTTGGTTTTTTTGGTTTTTTGGTTTTGATTCTAGTTTATTTTTTTGATTTTGGACAAATTTTATTGCTATTATCTCCTTAATTTTAACTAAATTTAACGTTGATATTAATAAGATGCCCTTTTTCAAAACTTATCTACCAACTATCCACGAATTTTTGCACAAACGATTCGTTTGATCTGATTTTCAATTTCAGCTTTAATTTTTCACCATCAATTAAATCAGTCAATGAGGGTAGGGTGACCGAGCGTATGGTGACTCACCTCTAATCACTTGCCGATCCATAGTGGTGATTTTTTAAATCTTTATTTAGCTTGAAAACTACAAAATTAATTAATAAATTAATCAATTAATCAATTAAACAAGTAATTATTATTAACAATTTATTTTTATTAACAAACTAATAAAACGATAATTTCAAATGAAGACCAATAAAAATCTTCAAATAAACATTTAAGGATTCTCCACTGAATGGAAAAATAGAGATTGTTTTTCTACCAAATAAAAAATTTTCTTTCCAAAAAAAAAATTCATCGTAAAACTGGTTATGGAAAAAAACAGCTGAACAAATATCTTTACAATTTTTAGCTGCATATTTTAAAATCCATATTGTGAATCAAAACTAAAAATCAAGAGATCGGATCTTAGAAATCCTGATTATATATTCCACTGAATACCAATCAAAAAGACTAAGCAAACATGAGAACGAGCGTATCTGAAGCAAATGGAGAATATTTCTAAATGTTGTTGAAGGTTGAATGTTTCTGGTTCCCAGTGGCACAAAAAATAAGGACCAAGTGATATGAAGATAACTAAGTGGATGCCCAGGCCATTCATTTATATTTGCATATATTTCTAAATTTATCCCCGTTAAAAACAATAATCAAGCGATAAGAACTGAATATATAGAGTTGTTAGCGCATTTTCTCTCTAACCAATAATTATTCGAACAGAAATATATGCAGATATTTGTTTTTGATTGCGGAATTTGTTAATATTAATATTATTAATATTATAAAATTTGTCATACTGCTTTGAATTTTTATGAAAGTAATAAAATGGTTTAATCTTAACAGTGGAATTCTTTTTCACAGATAACAATAACCTTGAACCGACGACGATTACTTGCCGCTATTTTCGGTCATTCACACAGAAATCTATCAATGTAATTTATTAAAAATTAACTAGATTTTCTTTGCATTGATTTCTTACGCTTCATATTTCAATAAATTATATGATATTCCCATTGAAAAAACTAGAAAAATTGTTCAATGGTACTAATGAGTTGAAAAATTAGTTGTAAAACTGATTCGAAAATTAAAAAATAGAAAATGATTAAGATTTTCCAACACTTAAATTATCGTCAATGTTCTCAAAATATTCTATAAATCTAAAAAAGTAAGATTTGGCAAAAAATTTTAGAGTTAATCACTTAAAAAAAACTGAGTTAAAAAATAAAATAAAAAACTAAAAAACTAGAAAAAAAACTTATTATGTATCACAGCATAATGAATTTAACCTCAGATTATTGAAGCAAATTAAAATGATAAGCGTGTCATTAAAATTAAAATCTCGGTTCCATGCTGGGAACCCATATGTCCTTTGTTCCACACAAAGAACTCTCTGGTGAAACTCATTCATCACTGATTAGTGGACGAAATAAAATCGCAATATTTGCATAAATTTGATGTAAGGAAAAGGTGGAAAATTTCAAAATCTAATTACATTAAAATCTTCCAGAAAACATAGAAATTTGATAGTAAATAAAGAAAAGATGAATAGAATAACTATAATACAAAGATCATAAAATTTTGCAGGGAGCCACGGCAGAACTATGGATGAACCGTTAGGCCTACTCAGATAAATGTTTTAATGAAAAGTGCTTTTAATGATAAGCGGAAAAAAACAAGGACTTTTCAGACAAAAGTGTATAAATTTTTTAGATCACTAATCTCAGATGATACGAGCTTCCCTTTTAAATATGCATTAACTTCTCTTGTTTTCCACTCAACTTTGATCAACTACTGTAATTTTTTGGTGAATCAATGAAATCAATTAAGCCTTCACAATTTGACCTTCACGAATGAAAATTATTTAATTAATCAAAATTAAAATAAAGTTTTAGATAAACAAAAAAAGAAACTTACGAAAATGAGCATCTCGTATCACGAGCAATAGCAAAACATTTCTGATGTTCTTTTACTGATGGAACAATCAGTTGGCATGTATATAACTCGATAATGCTCCATAAGTTTACAGCTTCAGCCACAGTACATCCAGTAATAACCAAACCTCCAATACATGTTCGATATTCTGCTACAAGATTACATGCTTGATGCAAATTTTCCCATCTGAAACTATGCAAATAAATATAATTAAAAAATAATTGAAATTGAACTTGCAGAAATTTTTGTTTGAATAAAAATGCCAATGCACATGAGAGAAGGGAAATATGTTTATTGCTTTAAAAAGTCCTGTCAGTCCTGAAAAAATCGCCATTTTCAGGGTTTACACGACTCGTTTCTTTAAATATAAAATGGCATTTAAGTTTAAATAAAATATTTCCTTCCTTTGCGGGTAATTGCACATAAGTGGCCTGACACTTGACTCCTTTAAACTGACTTCGCTTTTTTCACTGTAGCACTTCAAATTTTAAACGATCGGAAATAAACAGAGCTTATCTATATCAAAACTGAAAAAAGGCCACAAGATGACCTAATAAATAATTTTGAACAATCATTCAAGCCAATATTTTTCTATCGACGTCATCTGGCATTACCCCATTTCTTTGGGATAAATATTCATTTGTGTTGTTGCGAAAAAATTCGCAATTTCGATAAACTTGCTTTATAAAAGATCTAAAGATTCATTATTATTTATATGAGAGATTTATTGGAAAATTTTAACAACTAAATCAAGAAATTTCTTGTAAAAAATAAATAAATACCCGTCTATTTGAAGAAAATATGGGCTATGAAAATTGAAGTAGAATCCGGTAAAAATGAATTCCAGAAAAAAATCCTTCGGAATCTCAAAAAATATGAGACAACGAAGTAATAATATAAAAATAGAGAGAAAGAAGGAAATATTAAAATCTTCAATTTAAATATTGACGAATAAATATTGCAGCTTATAGTAATATGTATATATATGTATATACACATATATATTATAATAGTTATAATAGTAATAATAAATAATAATAATAATAGTTTCTTATCAATTATTAATCGTTTTATGGTTTCACTGAATTGTGAAAAAATTTATCGGGGAATTTAATATATTTCTGGCAAGAAACCTTCCACCGTTTTCAAAAACGCTAATGGAATACTCCAACAAGTAAGGTTTATTTAAGGAATAAGCAAATGAAATTTTAGTGCAAACATTAAAAATATCTGATTGCAATTTGGAGAGAAATGAAAGGCGGTAATTGAACGAAGCTTGCTTCTGCAAAATGGAGCGGCGCTCTTCCCAGTCATATTTCTCAATACGCATCAAACCCCGTTAAATCCGGCTTGATGCTGACCAATGAATTATGCAATTCGACCTTTATTATGCGTGCATTTACTTCGTTGCATTTAGGTACAACATGCACGCTTACATTGTTGCATTTAGTGAATAACATCTCATACTCAGCCATCGAAAAACGTGAGAATGAAGGAATACGCTAGGATCAGTTGAATATTAATTGAACCCTCTAAGTTTTTCTGCGCTCCAAAAAATTTTCGATGCTGTAGGGCATAAAAGCATCGAAAAAGAACTACATGCGCTATGTTCATGCATGAAATATTGGCTCAAAAAGCAGTGGAATGAATGAATTGAATCGCTCAAATGGCCGACTAAAAGTTCCCCTAATTTTTTTTATCGACTTCAGAAAATTTATCGACAATGAATTCTTAATAAAAGCATATAATATTCAAAAAAATAAAACAGAGCACTGGATTATGTGCCGATTTCGTATTTCGAATCATCTTCTGGCCACTAAAATCGCATTTTTGATGCCAAAATAATACATATAGAGGAATAATAATATAGGGAAAAAAAGAATAGGGATTTGCGAAAACTAATATTAATTTGATTATTAAAAAAAAATTTTTCTGATCTTATCACAGTTTAGAACTAGTGAGGACGAAAAGTAAATGGATATTCAGCGCCACTCGGATTTCACTTTCACTTTCAATGTTTCTTCTTATAATATTACTCCTTTAACAATGCTTCAATAACACTGAAGCATTTTAAGACCAAAGAAAATAGAACAATGAAAATCAAAAAGATCGATACTGTAGCAAGGAAGATTTAACTGTGGATAGTTGCCCGTACTTCAAGTGATTCTTTTTAATAGTCAATGAAAACTTAAAATGGTGATGAATGCAGAATTATTAAATAAGATTTACTGAAAGATAAAAAAAACTGAATTAAATTACCCTTCTCGATTCTTTAGAAGAGACATAGTCGTTAGATCAAATTCATTCATAATTCTTAACCAAGCAATTAGTTTACTGGAACACTGGTTGATCTTTTCTTGTGTATCAACTTGGCAACTTATTTCAACTTTTTTCACCGAATCAAAGTTAGGCCTTATTGTTACAATCTGATCAAATGGATCTTCTTCAACAGTTTCATCGGCTAACTTTTTCTGCTCCAATATATTTTCGAATGAATGCGTGGAATTTTGTTGTTCATCGGAACCATCATCACAATCTGATTCACCATCATTAATCCATTCCTGTGGAATACATGAACCATCCTTGCAAGTGAATGTGTTCTTAGGACATAAACAATTTGATAAACTGATTATTGAAATAAAGAAAAAAATCCGAGAAGTGATCATAATAATTTAATCACAACAAACTCGCACCAATACTAATCAACCAGCAATAACGACACCACAGAGGACGACGACAACGGCCGACGATAGTCGTCAAATATCGTATTTCTTTATACTACTGTTGTCCATCAACGCGGTCAACTTGTTTCATCTCTGTATGCCGATTTTTCTCTAACAAATTATTTTGAACTCTAAAACTATCGATATTTCTTTTTTGCAGTTTTCATGCTTTTGATTCCTTCATTCAAACCAAAGAAAAACGGAGTCAATATGAACATAAAATTAAAAAGGGGATTTGATTGTCGTACTGAGAGGTAAGAGGAATCCTCACCTCAACAGGAGTAAATCATCAAGAAATCCAAGTGTTGCTAGCGACCTACTTTTACTTTTATCACCAATTTACTGGCAAAAGTTTCTAAACGTAGCACCTAATCGAGTCAACTAAACGAAAAATGATAACTTGCTTAAGAATATTATATTCATTACTGTAAAAAGGCCTTTTTTTAAAAATTTTCGAATATTGATGCAAATGCAAAATTGCGAATATCAATGCAACATCCAGTATTAGTACATTTTATATAAATACAATAATGTTCCAAAAATTCTATTTAGTGAGATCGAAGGGCATTCTTGAAACAGGCAATTTCATTCATCGGATAGAGAACTCTTATGGCAACGGTTTTTTTGCAACTTTGCTCCATATTTGGCACATTGAACAAAAAATTAAATTTACGATGAGCCAAATATACGCTCAAGTAATTAATTTTTAGAGCATTCAATTTGATTTCATGGACAAAAGCCTCTCTTTTACTGAACCTTTTATTAAAAAACCCGGAGTGACTGTGGACCTAACTGCGTTTCCTTGGGCGATTTCCTGATAAAAATCTCTTATCTCTTATTTCCTAACCTTATTAACAACAAGCGAATTAGGCATAGCCATGAACATTGAAAACCACTTATTTCATAATAAAAAATTTTAATTTTGAATGAATGTTAAGCGACGATCTAAGCGCAAAATCTTGCCATTTGCTAGAGCCGTACCGTCTTCTTACCAGACTTCGTCTTGCTGTTGCCAGTTTTCCTTCGTCTAAAAAACTGCCCATCGAATAACTGTCGAATAAATGAATGCGATGCAAAGGAATTCCGAAATTTCTTTTTCAAGCGCCAGGAAAATTTCGACTTAGACTTTGAATTTCAACAAAGAATTTCGAAATCAAATTTAATTTAAATTTTTTTATTGAATTCAATTTCGAAAAATGAAAGAAAATTTGCGATAAAAACATTTGAAATGAATTTTTTTAATTTACGTTTTATTTCAAATATTTTGCATGAAAATAATGGTGCGAAAAATTTTAGAAGATTGGAAAGTGATTACTTGGAAAAAGCCTTCTTAATTTATTCCTGCCGCTAGCTTCTCTTATTTTGGCATTTTAGCTGAATCCTAGATTAGATGCATTTCTACTCGCATGAGGTACACTCAAGTGTGGGTACCACCGAGCGTAATTAACAAATGCTGCATCAACTAACAAAATGTAAAGCAGATTGTGTAGGGGGAAGACATATAGTATGAAATGGTAGGAAAATATAGCAGGGCCGAGCAGCGAATTAACTTTGTTTAAGCAATGACTCAAATGATTAACAGATGAAATATCCAAGTTCCAAATGGTGAATTTTACATTAATGCTAGCGTCTTTTGCCGTGGGAAGATGCAACAGAAAGGAGCAAATTTGTTAAAATAGCGAGTTTCCGCCGACTTTTCGGCATCAGGAAACAGTTTGGGTTTGGTAGTTTTCCTTTACACGTCGCCTTCTTTTTTTTGCTACCATTTAAATTTTCATATATTTTCAAAAACGAAGAATGAGAGGATTTATTATAATGCCGTCATATTTTAACTGAATTAAATATACTCATAAATGGATGAATAGAGATTCTCATTGTCAATAAATTGACGGATGTGGAATGCTGTTGGGGAAAATAATGATTATTTAATGATTATGGAAACTAGTTTTCTTCCCGATTTGCATTAATCATTTCTTACAATAATCAGCAAGCGATTTTTGTCGTCTAAATCAAAGGGTAAATTGAATTTTGTACTTCATGAGATATTTTCTCTGCATTAAATTAAAGGGAACAATTTTTCCTACGACACTACTGGATTTCTGAAAACCGCATTTTTGGCTCTGATTAATTTTATCATACAAATACAATTGTACAGTCATAAAATACAACACAATTTATGTTGTCTTGTCATGAATACTCATTCAATATTAAATTAACGGCATAGGTTCGCATTCCAACAAGTACAACAGCAGAACTACTTTACCCACTAAAGAAGAACTGTAAAGATTACGGAGATCACAGGCTCTCATGCAACCCTTCTTATGGCAATCAACATTTGTAAATTTGTAACTTGCTTCGCTCCACTGATTATTAGGATAAAATCTCGCCAGAAAATCGAGACGAAGCATAGATGAGATTCTAAGTTTAAATGTAAAGGTTAATGAGTGCTGGCAAACGGCATGGACTGAATCAGTAATGCTTGAACTTTCTTCCAAATAACGTCATTGTTACCGCTGCAATTAAAAAGACTGAACCAATGCGATTGGACAAATGAGCGGACCGATTAAAATAATTTACGATGCTTTTTTCTCGATTAAATAATTCGTGCAGTCCCGGTGGTATTAATTCGAAGCATCAAAAAAATAATGTGGTACCACGCTCATCGATTTCATCGACCAAAATCAGTTATATTTTGAAGGAAGAACCACTTTTTCACTTATTGAGCTTTTCAAAAGATTTTAATATTTGGCGATAAATGATGTTAATGATAAAAAAGAAAGAACCGCTAAAGAATCGCAAAATTCCACAATAAATATCGCATTTCTCTCAATGGAAATAATTAAATTTTAATTTCAATTTAAGTTCATTTATTTCAAACTTTAAATACTGCAATGAAATTTTCAAATAAAACTAATCCATACTGCAATGAAATTTTCAAATAAAACTAAATTCTGTGACGAATTCTGTAAAATTCGATGTCCTAAAAATCAAATAACTCACTCGAATGAACAGTTCAGTTAATCAACTGAAAAATCACGTAAATGGCCGAAAAAGTGGAGGGGACTCATTTTTCTTTTTTTTCCCTCCGATTTAATTTATTCGTTAGGTTATGTGTCTAAAATTTATGGCTAGAAAATTAATATAAAAAGAAGGGAAATTTTTTAAAGGCAAACATCCTTGCGTAAAAAAATAATTTACGAAATACATATACCAATCCTTACCACAAATTATATTTTCACATGGCTTTAGACGAAAACCTAGCGCTTCTGCATAATTCATTTCTTTAGAATACAACTACCATTTTATGACATATGCTCTTTTTAATTCCTTAAATGAAAATTAACATGATACAAAAATTTAGACGACATAGGCAAATAAAAACAAATCAGTGGATTACGATGTTTATATTTCAGTGGACATTTTCACCAAATTACCACTATAATTTTTTCGACTCCAATTAAATTAGTATTGCAACGTTGGTGGAACTAGAAGATGAAAACATCGAACCAGAATTAAAGGAACTTCTATCAAAATCAGTTTATAGTATTATACAGATAATCGATTCAAGCCAATATCTGTTGAACTAAAATAAAATCTATCGTTTTTCATCGCTCATTAAATGAAACACGAAAGACGTTGAATAATTTAGTCAAGAAAAACTAATAAAGACAACTAGTGCCCTGAATTCATTTCGCAAAATCGAAAATCGATTAATATGATCATAATTCAAAAAGTATCGATATTTAAATGTCATAACCATTTTTTAGATCAACAAAAAAAAATTGGCATTTGCATGAAAAAACAATTTCACAGCGATTTAAAAAATAGATTTTCCCTTAATACGAAAAACATCTATTTTCACATAAACTGCGAATAAAAACAAATCTGAAAGTGCTTTACTTTGTACCAACAACAATAACTTTTCCCAATTTTTCCCAATTTTTTTGCAATACTTTTAAATACACTTTATATAAGCTGCATCCTGCATCACCTATATGTGTATTCAAGTGAATTCAACGCTGTCAAAAAATCGAATCTGCGATTCTCGATATTATTTGACGACTGCATAATAATAACATAATTTGATTTGTGGAAATGAAAACTATATAGTAGGTCTTTTCATCATAATATGGATTAACTGAGTCGGTAAATTTGGATAAGACAAATGTACCGTGCAATTATATCGACTATAGTCAGCTGACAGTAGATTATTTTTGTGATAGATTATTATATGCAAGAAATAATTGGTCTCATTATCGAATTTTTGCGAACAAAATTCACACTGCTGCAAGAAAAACGAGAAATAGATTGGTAGAAAACAATATAAAAAATAAAGTGAAATATTAAAAACAATGCTGGATATGCTAAAATACAATAATCCACAAATAGGCATTTGAATAAACTGATTAAATTATACCTCGTTAGGTGGCAAAATAACTTTTTCGGTCCAAACATTATTGATGAAACCTTGCTTTTCCAATTTATTAATGGTCGCTTCATGCTCGCGAACAACTAAAATAAAATAAAATAGTATATAAAATAAAAATAAATAATAACAAAAATAAATACAAAATTTAAAAAAATATATTTGGTTTTTCCTGTAGAAATACGGATGAAAATTATTCATTGAAATTATTCACTTTATTCATTGAAATTTGAAACAAGTAGGAGATAAGGAAGCCATATGTTTCGCTTATTTTATAAAAAATGAATCCAGACTGCCTATACCACGTGATTTAATCAACCAAACCATGCTATTAGAGAACAGGAAAAAGGAAGAAAATATGTTCTGTGAAGAAACGCCAAAATTCAAAAAATTGATAATGAAAAAAAAATAGCTTAATTCTTTCCTTTTGATTTCGGTCTGAAAAATCTGCCTGATAGGGCAAATTTAATAAGAATTTAATAGGAATATACCAAAGGTTTAAGATTAAAAGGTGAAAGAAATCTTTAAACCTTTAAAAATCAATAAAATTCAATAAAAAATTCTAAAATTTAATAATTTATTAATCAAGCAAATTATTCACTGAAGATTGAAGAATCTGCAAAAATTCAATAAGCAGATTCAAGAAATATAAACAATTTAAAAATGAGAATTCCCTTTTGTAAAAAAAAGGAATATTAATGAAATTAGCCAAGCAAAAAATTATCTTGCTTGCTAAAATAAATGAATATAGATAGTATAGTAAATAAGAGCGAGCGTCTGACTTAGAATATAACAACAACACCTTGGTCCGAATCACATCCTCCATCTTTCTTTGGATAGAATCCTCTTAATGTTTACATGCCCTACCACAAACATGAGAATGTTGTAGTAGACCTAATGGAAAGAGATTATATAAACGTACGGAGGAAATTGTGGATGAAGAAAAGATCCACTTTTTTTTAAAGAGTCCTCACCATCACTCGTTAAACTCGCTCCGCTGGCTTGTCGCATTGGACAAATATGCCAGGAAGTCCTTTGGCGATAGAAATACGGGTAAGCCGAATTTACGGATAGGTTCACTCTTGCAAGGAAAGAACCTCAACATCGGCGCTCCAAATTGAGCAACAATCCACTGAGCCAGTCTATCTTTTCCAGATTAAATAAGAAACAACTGGTGCTTCAACGAAAGATGAAATTTTCTCTCAGTTGGAGAGCAATACCCCAGACTCAGAATCTTCCAAAAAAAAAGAAAGAAGAGAGATGGACACTATAATTAAAGATTCAAATAGAGCTCGTAATAATTCCTATTGTCACACTATAAGCGAATCTAATGAATTGGTGCTAATTCTCGAAATGCGGGAAAATCAAGAAAATGCATTCCACCCCTCGAAAAGGAGAGTGGAAAATATGATTATAGAAGCCAGCTGACAGAATTACTAAAAGGTGTGAAAAATAAAAGCAGTATCCAGAGAGTGGGAAGATATAAAGGCTACAATCCATCAAAAGCCCTGGAGATTGCTAAATAAAGGCTGTCATCATTAGGCTATACTAGAGAAGCAGAGCTTAAAAAAGATAAACGCTCTGTTCTCCAAGGAATCATCCAAAGTATACTCTCAATTTCAGTGCAGTAATATGGTAACAACAGACAGCAAGGTTTTTGTAACCATCAATAGCAGAAACTAAAATACTGGAAGAATATATGAAAAACAAAGATTCATAATACCACTGCGAAGTGGCCTGAGAATAAGCCATAGCAATTTCTCAGCTATCACAGCTTCTGACATCCTACAGCGACTCAAAAAAGTGAATACAAAAAGTTGGACAGGTACTGACATGATCCACACCTACTGGCTGAAGAAACTAACAGTGACGTCATGAGCGGCGAGCAACACAAATGAACCAGCTGCTTCTGGCAGACTCTCACTCAGACTTGTTAATAAAAGAAAGAACGTATTGATCATCAAAGACATCAAAGACCTTCATAAAGAAACAAAATTGTCCAAATACCAACTAAAAGCCTGCTTCTCCACACTTCCAATCTGGCAAATCCTATCCAGGAATCACAGCTGTTAAGCTTCATAATTATATGAGCCGGTACATCAATACTGTTCTAAAAGACATTGGGAGCAACACCAGACGCTTTAAACACCAGCTGTACATAGAAATTGTTCATGAATCAAAATCACGACAGAATAATTTGTATATAACTTGGATTGACTATAGGGAAGTCTATGACTCAATGCCCCACCCACGGACGGATCTGTGAATTCTGGCACTATACAAAGTAACAGGACCCTAAAGAGATTCACTGAGACCTCAATGGGATTGCGGAAAATCACAAGCAACTATCAAGAGCGGCAAGATGATGCATCTTCACCCCTATTGTTCTACATAGATTTAGCCGCTTCAATCAGATAATCACTAGAAATAGATATGGATATAAATTCAAGAGCGAAAGATATCAACATAAATGCTAAAAATGAAATGAACGAGATATTGATTCTTTCATATATCTAACACGGATCTACAGCGAGTAAACTGCGATATCATTCGGGCCTTTTAGTATATGTTGTCCCTGCTTGTACTTCACATCCCTTTGATGGAGCAAGTGCTTAATATCCATGCTATGATTAATGCTTCAGTGTTGCCTTTCTTAGTCTAGCTTTTTTCAACTATTTGATTCTCAATGCCAGTTACCTCATCTATCTGCTGATGGTGCAGTCCACTGAGGGATCTTGTTTTGCCATGATACTTCCTTTGTTTAATCTTTTTCCACTAAATGTGGATGCTTCAAACATTCAACACTCTTCCAACAACTCATCCTTTGGTACCGACACATTGCTGATATATTCCTGAATGCTTCGAGTTTCATTCAAGACAGTGGTTTTGGCACTTACCAAATTCCACTCGCCTCTTTTCCATCTAGCATAGAGTTTTTGACCTTGGCATGGATTTTCTTCCCCCCATTGAGCTCCTCGAGATTTGTATTATCCTACGAAAATTTAATAATAAATGGTTAGTGTTGAACTGAAAATATAACGGACATACACGGACTAGCTACAAGTACCTTAATATCCCACAGTCATATGGTAACCACAGTGTAAAGATAAAGAAATCTGCAGCATCTGAAATCTTAGATACAAATATATATATATATATATATATTAATTCATTCATTCATTTAAAATATAAACCATCGTTCAAAATATGGCAAAAGCTTAGTTTAGTAGTCAAGTACTTATTATAATGGTGTTGCCTTTTTATTTTTATCCTTTGTCTTCTTAACATTTCCTGCAAATTTTTTCAGGAAAACTTTTATAATAAATGGCTAGTGTTAATGAAAATAAGTAACCGTGTTCAACCATTTCTCCACCTTGCGAACTTCGATATTTACAAATGAGGCATTTTTGAAGCAGTTGCGCAGCAATTTTAGTTGCACCTAAAGGAGCCGAAATATCCCCGCATAAATTTTTGTTTGTAATTGTGGTTTCCTGTAGTTGAAATTTATGATTACAATCGTCATTCGACGCTGTTGAAATTTTTAAATCTACTCCACATTGTTTGGAGGAGTCCACAACCGATTCTGCAGCAAAATAATGAGGTTCTTTTCCTTTAGAACCTTGATTCGCTTCAGTTTGGGTCGAATCTTTCCCTGAAAACTCAATGAAAAAAATAAACAAATAAAAATGGATGGGGAAATAATTAGAATTTTCCATTCATTAAATAATCAAGCATGAATTTTATTCACATAAATTTCTCGAAAGTTGTTGATCTACAGCAAAATGATATATTAATCTATATTATAATCTATATGATCTATATTAATCAATGAATATTCAAAATTTTACCCTTAGATAACAAGACATCCGTCCGATCGCCAATTCTTGGATATTTCTTGAAAATCATCGGCTTTTTTGAAATATTAATAAGTGAATCAGGTAAAGGATGAGTTATTTTTCGCCTTGGGAATACGTTTAAATCTGAACTTTTCTGCGATACTGGTACAACATCCACTGTATTACGCCTTTTTATTTTTTCGTCAAATGCTGATTTTTTTGTGCTAGGTTTGTATCCAGAACTGAATGATTCACGATTCCGATGGTTTAGCAAATTTTTTGATCGAATTTCGAAAAGCTAAAAAATAACCAATGCCACGAACTTGGAGAACTGAACTTTCAGCAATAAATGGTCGAATATTAATACTTCAGAATTATATTAGATAAATAAATAGATCATATTATAAATATAATTAAATATATTAAATTAAACAGTGAAGTGAGATTTTGGGAGATTTTGTTTCCTGAACGGTCATTTTCTATTCCGCTCTGCTATTCTCTTACGCTTATTCTGCAATATTCAAAGTTACATACATTAAGTTGCTTTTACAACAACTAACAAATAACTTAAATTATAATGTAAATATATATATATATATATATATTTATCCTATTCCTTTGATTTTTCTTAATTTTTTAAAATTATCTTTAAATTTCTCTTTTTTTAAATTTAATTGCCTTTTAATTGTCTTTTTTTTTTTGTTTGACAGGAATAAACCTATCATGATGCCAAAAATTCGGGCTGCTGAGGATCCACCTGTATCCCAACCCCCAAGTGACTCTATGGTGAATTAGATATGGCGCCGGGCTGAGCAGCTTGGAGACGTCTTACCTTTGTGGCCAGCGGAGCTAGCCTATCCAGTGATGGGTATTACCAGTAAAAGCTGTTAGACGAAGAAGAAGAAACAGTGAATTTCTAGAGTGAGTGTAAATCTTTTTTAAATAATAATTTTATAAATAACTTGTTTTCCTGTACTTTTTTTTCACAGTGGAACTGGAATTCTACTTATGGTAGGAATATTCCGATGGTGATATCGACCTATCCATATTCTATCGCCAAGTGACTAGCGAAATTTCGCCTGATAAGCCAATGCAAAGAGTCTAAGCAGAAATGGTCACCACTAATCTTTGTATAGTTGCTTGCAAAATACAAGGATAAACACCTTGGATCCACGCCGAGAAGTTTCGAAAGCGTGTATTTGATAACAAAAACTGATCACTTGATGTAAAAATAAATGCTCATCGTATGAAGATTTTGACCAAAATGTTTCACCACATTGATAGCATAAATAAAATGATTCCATATTTCTCGCAGTTCGCAGTTTAGGAACTTCATCAACAGCAGAATTGGTAAACATGATCTATAATTGCAAATATAACATATATAAATAACAAATATAATATTTTAAAAACCTAAAACCGATATACCGACATGCTTATTAACTATGTGGAGAATCATCATCAGTTAATAAAAATATGGTTTCTAGATTTATAATCAACAAATAATTCGGATTGAACACGACAATAAAACAAAAAATTATGGAAAACAAATGCTTAAAAAAACTTTAAAATTTTATTGAAACGAATTTTTTAATCACAGAGATTGTTATAACCATTTATCTTAAAAATCCATCATGGTGAAATGAGGAAACTGCTGCATTCTTTATGAAAAAAAATATTGTTAATTTACATCGATATCAAACCAATTTTTGCATGGCAATTCGATTACAAAAAAAAAAAATTAACATGGAAATGAAAAAATATTTTATTAGACAACACTGAAAACAGAGAAAAAGGTAGATAAAATATAAAAAATTATGCAAGGATCTTTTATCCAATAAATTCTATAGTAAGAGAAAGAGAAAAACTATTCAAAGCCCAGTGTGCTTCCAAATTCAAACTTTTAAGACACTTCCAGAAGATAGAGGATAAAATGGAGAATCGTATTTATTAAACTGGTATTATTATATCTCCGTTTTATTTTACCTCTTACCTATCATGCCCTGCATAAACCATCGTGTTTGCTACAATGTTACGCCCGCACAAAATAACAATAGGCGAGACCGTAATTTTTTTTTGAATATAAATAACATGTTAGCAAGATGATTGACTTCTACCTATTAGCCTGCTTATTAAGAAAAAAAAGTTTGATCTCCAGCAACAAGAATTTTATTCCTGTATCTCGGAGGGAATATAAAGTTATTTTAAATCGGATAGTGGTGCTAACCTGTTTATCTATCTGCCAAATTCGATGAAAAAAAAAAGACAATATACTTCATAGAATTTCTGCACAATTTTTGCGCTTTATGCAAAAAAAACAAAAAAGCAGAATAGCAGGCCTTAAGCAAATAAGCGAAATAATAAGATGATTGACCTTTGCCAACTAGCCAAAAGTAGATTAAGCATTTTCAACTAATATGTACTTTTCATATCTTCAGAAACTGCAGTATCATATTTCTCCTTTGCGTTTTTTCGCATATAATGAAAAGCATGAAGTGACCTTGAAAATATCATATCATTATCTGAAATCACTCCGTAATCGGCGAAGTTTGCGAAATCTGAATTAGTCCATTTCCGAAAATCGTAAACTATATCGGGCGTAGGAAAACCAAATTCTCTAAAAATATTATGCATATACATGAGAAAAAATATCCAATTATTAATTCATATGAAATTTAAATGAAGAGTTTGAATTTTTTAAACTATTTATAACAATATTAATAATAATAATTTAATTATTAAAAATAATAATCTTATTATTTACCATTTGTCAGTTATTTATTTTAAAAAAAAACCAAACAAGGCGATAAGTACCATGTGCTCGTAGAAAAGGAAAAGGAAAATTTTAAAACGGAAAAAATTAGAAATGTTATTAATTATTTTTATTATTTATTATTTAAATATTTTTAAATGACAAAAGGTAAAAAAATAAAAAGAAAAAAGAGAAGAAATAAAATGTGGAACTATTATTATTACGATTATATCAGTATTATATTATTAGTGAAATTAGCGCATTATTATTACAAAATTTGATTTTAGGTTCCTTATTTATCAAAGATTTAGAAATTTCTAGAACTCAATCATCACGAAGCCAAAAAAAGTTCACAAATGAAGATTATTTAGAAAATGATTAAAAATATTGGAAGAATGTGGCTGTTTTTATTAATGGTTAATCACAAACAAACTGCACTACACAAATAAAAAAAATTTTCAACTTTTCAACCATTCTGATACTTACTTTTACATTTTCTTTTTGCAAGAACTTTTTTAGAAATATTTTTTGAATATCTTATTAAAATTTATTAAAATTAAACTTGTTATTACTATTTATGAAATAAAGTAAAAAAAAGGTAAAAAATCTCACTCACTCGGTAAGTAAAGTGATAGGAAAAATTATCAATATAAGCGCTTTAAAGACATTCCATACATTGTTCCGAACGAAATTTTTATTCTCGAATAAATATTCTTTATTCACAATAAATTTTCCGGATGCCAACCGAAGAAAAGATAAAATCATTCAGTAAATCACGATAAAATTTTCAGCAAAACTTTAAATTTGCTAAAAAATATTAAAATCAAAAGCTCTTATCGGCTGCACAAAAAGTAACCAGCAATTGTTAATAAAAAATAGTACATCAAAGGGATACAAGAAAAGAAAAGAATAAGCCGTCATCAGTATCACCCAGTTGATGAAAAGTGATAGGGGGTATTAAAAAAGAAAATTATCGAAAATTCTGCGGATTACGAAGCCGATCAACAAGAGAAGACATTGGCATTGGCTTCTCGCATGATTAAACTAGCAATTGCTCAATTTTATGCTCTTCTCCCTCTAACACACACGATTTTTCTGGCACCAGCGACTGCTAGACTCTTTTCCAGCCAATTACTTGAGGACAAAAGTGCCTGATCCCAGCACCATTCGAGTGCTTTTTTTAGAGGAGAGGCAGTCTCAAGAAGCACAAATCGAACTGGTCACGCAATTCGTGTTCACAATTTTGCTACTTTTTAACTCGACTGAAATTCATTATGAACTGAAATTTATATTCGTCACGCTCAAATGAACAATAAGCAATTATTGATGAAAGCAAAAAAGATTTTCCAGAAATCAATTAAGTGGTTCAATTAAAAAATTAAAAAACAGAAAGAAAAGAAAAAACAAAGGAAAAAGCCCCTGACCCCTGCCTTAGAAACACCTTAGAGACATTTGAAGCGCCCAATCCCCTCCCCCCCAACCTGAATTTCCTCCATTCTGAAACAGAACTGCAGTTAAAAGTTTTGACAAACAGGGATAGTTATATAATTGCATTATCAACCTTAATCTTCCTATAAACTCCGCCTTCATCACTTTTTTTTTCTTTCAAATTTTTAATGTTCGTATTAGTGAAGCTTGAATATTTTTGAGAGCAATGAATTCTTTCCATAATCAGATATGTTCCTTTGGGATTCTAATGGACGCTGTGGGATGTCATTTGGGATCGCTGTGGGAAGGACGCATTAGCTCAAGTCTAGCACTGCTGGTATACCTGGTTCCATTGGTAACGAGGGTAAAATGCTTCTAAGCCCATCCCCATCAGATAATCTTGAAGATAAGTTATGAATAAGAAGTAATAGAGCCATTTATTTTTCCACTGTCTAAAGTTCTGTGTCGCTGGACCACCTATGCATTCAAAATCTATCCTAGCCGCATCGGTCCAGATTTTGATTGGTCCTCCACGCTTGTGACACTGTTCATCACAGGATTTAACAAGTAGCTAGATATGCATAAATTCTTATAGTTGCTGACAAACTATATATATATATATATATATGTGGCAAAAGCAGCGCGGACGATGGTATTCTTAATGCAAATAGTACTCGAGGATGATTGCAATCATGTGAGACTTTGCACATTTGGCGAATTTGTGGAAGATATCTTAGACAGGAATGGTCAGACGTCAGTCGCATCCTGCTCCTGATATCTTCAAGTCAAGTTTCGTGGCCCTATAACAGAACTGTGCACACTACATGCAGATAGATGCAACTTGGTTTTCAAGGCGCTTTTCAAAACGGATTTCGCGGCGATTCCGAGGAGATTTCGAAAGAATGCACCTCTTGTGGAGTTATCCTAGCTTGAATCTCATCTATCGCCTGGTCATCAGATATATCATGTTGAATTTATTTGAATTGCGACCTTATTAGCGTCTGATATATAAAACGAAAAATGTTTCGTCTTATTTACATTGATTTGAGAGCTAATTTTCACTGTTGCTATCGGTACCAATTCAAAAGCCTTCCCAGAAAAATCCAGCAAACTTGTTCCTCCATAGTTGTAGCAGTGAGTCCTACTAAATTTCTTGGGGATTGTGAATTCACCTTGCTCCAGTTATTTGTTTCTTCTTCCTCACCAATGAATATAATCTCTGTATGTTGTGGAAAACGCTGGGCTTTAAAGTATTCGGACCACTTTCCGCTAGAATTTTATTGAATATAATAAGCTGGTGAATTACGTAGATTATTTCGTGCTCGATTGGTGGCTTGCTGCAATCTTACACCTCTAAATCGTGTGCGGGACGCTATTTTGTCCGTCGTAATTAAATTTAGATAAAGAACTCTCTCTGTCGAGACCATCTTTGATAGCCTTAACGGGATTTTCATTCTTGGATCATTTCGCTGATCATTTTTTTCAAGCTTCTGCTGCTTGCAAACAGGCATAATAAATGATTTACTGATCGCCCACCTGAACTGCTATCTCCATAATTAAAGATTGAAGATAAGATTTCGTTCCAGGTTCTTGTCTTACCAGCCACGTATCCACGTGTTTTGCGAGTCTACAAAGTTACCATTTATTATCCAATAGATAGTATCCCCTGACATTTCTGCGGCGCGATTGGACAACTGGATTGTTTCGTCTGAGATCCATTTTGTCTTCTTCTCAGTCTCGTATCCCTGTATGACTCCTGGAAATTCCACTATACTTCGACAGTTCCACTAAAGTTATTAAAGTCCTCCAATATTTTAATATTTGAAAAAGGATTTTTGAGGAACTATTTTTTTTATTATCTGTTTTATTCGGACCGTGGTTCATGAAGGTTAGCATTTTCGACTCAATATTTGTGGTTATCTAGACCTTGAGTAAATAATCATTTGAAATCCTTCGATAACTAAGAGATCTTTGGGGCATAGTTTGTGGACCATTAGCAGTTATTATTTTTAAATCCAAGATGAGATATATATTTAGACTTCAAATCAGAAAAGGGCCAATTCACCACGCTTCGTCGAGTATATTATAGTTATTAAACTGCTTATTTTTTGCTCATTACAAGAAGGAAAGTTACTGATAAATTGGATGAAACAAAAGTTGCCAATTCGTCAGTCAAATATGCTTGGTCAAATTTTTTCTAGGTTATGGCATTCATAATTCACAATTAAGAACCGAAATATTCGACAAAACTAGAATTTTTCTTCGAAACATGTTCAGTTAGAATGTTGAATCAATCCATTTCAAGAATAGTTCGATTCGTTCAGTTAAAATTATTATTGAATGATTATTATTATTATTATAAAAATTATTCATTATTATTATTATTCATTATTATTCATTACTGGCATAATAAAGGATCAAAAAAGCTTAATACAATTTTCAGCGATTCTCAAATTACTCATGGCTATACTATTGCTTAAGTTTACAACCGTGCAATATCTCGAGATTATAATTTGAAAAACAAATAAATAAAGAAATAAGTAGATCATTTCTTCTTAAACTTGTTACACTCGCTCTTAAAGGACTTTTCCAAGTAATCCTGAATTACAGGTTGAGTCAACCAATTCCAGGAAGTCACCCCAGATTTTTTATTCCTATAACTTTATTCCTATTGCAGCCAGCTTGATTCAAATTGGTGATCTACGAGCTAAAATTTAAATGCAAATTGCTTTTATTATTTTATAAAAAAGCGCTTTATTTAATGGGCCATCCTGAAAATTGTTGCTTTTTGCTGCTTGGATTTTGGATAATGCAATACCACTTTGGCTGACATATTACAAAGGGCTCTGCTCGTCAGCCTTTAGTTTCTTTTTACTACAAAAACGATAAGTGATTTCAACACTGTTTTGGATAATTTGGGTGACCAAATTTTACATGTAAGGCCTGGTTTCTGAGCTACGCTATTTCATGAATTTTACCTAGATATAGAGACAACTTATAATAATCAATAGTTTTTAATGATAATGCAAAGAAAAGCGCAAGATTGGTTCGTGAAGTTTAGTCCCAGAGAACTAGGAAATGCCTCACGTTACGCACAATTCTCTTTTATAGATTCAGTACGACAACAGAAAAAAATTGATGAAATGGCTATATAAGAATATTTATTTATTGAAAACTAGCCAAGCAGACGACAGCGCCATGTGCTTGTATTAATAACAACAGTTAAGATAACAAATAGTAAAATTAATTATAAGAAGAAAATATGATTAAAAAAACAACTAACAATTTAAAGAGGAAATGAAGAGGAAATTACGAATAATATAATATAGTACAATTCGAAATAACTGTATTATATATAATCGGATGGTAAAAATCGAGAGAAATCGAGGTATGATTTGAACCTTATAAATATATCATAAGTGATATTATCTTATCTTTTTTAAAGATGGTTAAGGATGACGCACAAGCTATATCGTTCGGTAATTTATTTCAGTAATCAATGGTGCGAATAAAGAAATCATGAGTCCTTTAGTTTAGCTTTACACATAGGTTTTAATAATTTTAGCCCATTAGTTCTTGTCGGATTCAAATGTAGCCTAAAATTTCCTTATTCTTGATCCACATCAAACTTGAATTCGAAGAAAACTATGCATACTTTCGATAGTCTTCTGCAGGAGTGACTTACTAAAACTAAAACTTATTAAAACTTACTTATTAAACTTACTAAAACTTTTTAAAAACCTGGTGCTTTTTAAAAACTAATGATTACATCTGAGTCATGAATGTAAAATATAAAGGGGTCTACCAGGAATAGTAAATAAAAAACGGCAATTATTAGCAGCTAAAAAAAAGATTCAATCTGCATGAAAAGGCCCGAGCACATATTGTCTCGCAAAAATTGGATTATCATTTTTTCCTTTCTTTCGACAAATATACTAATTGTTTCGTTTCATTTTCTTTTTATTCCTTTGAGAGAAACATTTTCCAGGGGCTCATTGATTCCAGAAACTTGAAATCTGCTAATTAAATGCACTTGTATCAATTTGGTAAAAATATATTTGGTAAAAAAATATATTTAAGTATATTTATTGATAACCAGCCAAGCAGGGCGACAACGCCATGTGCTTGTAATAATAATAACAGTTAAGATAACAAAAAAAGAAAACACAAAGAAAAAAAAAACATAAACAAAATTAATTAGAAAAAAATATGATAAAAATTAACAATTTAAAGAGGAAATTACAGATCAATATAATATAGTGCAATTCGAAGTAACATATATATAACCTGAAGTTAAAATCGAGATTTTTCACTTCCTGCAGTTCTTGCCTGGTGTA